GCAAAAAAAAAAAAAGAAGAAGAAGAAACTTACCGCCAGCGAGGCCGATCTTTATAACAGACATGAAATATATGAAATATTATCACTGAAACAAGGTGCTACCAAACTAAAAGGGGGTTTCAAAGTTGACCACTAATACAGTACTACACGGGGGAATAATATTGGCTGGCCAAGCATATTTGAGAACGTAGAAGTTCGCAAATACCGCACGCATTCACAGACTTCACTTGGCGTTTCCGGTCGCGAAGTGATTCCAGCGATAACCGAAGGTTGCCTAGCATTGGCGATGACATGCGAAAAAGGAAAATTTATAACCAAACGCTGCTTTTAAATTTATTTTAATTCAAACGGTAGTTCTTCTGGTTTCCTATTCCCGATTATCGGTGTCGGAGTTGTGGTTCGAAAAGAGGTTAACACAGCAATTAAATTGATCCGTGTTTAATTGTGACAGTTCCTTCAAAACATCGCGGAGAGTTAAACCAGATCACCCAATGACTGAGTTCCTAAACAAAATTAAGCGTTAATTCAAAATGCAAAATGAAAAACAATGTTAGGAACGAACCGATTTTTGTAAAAAATATATTATAGACTTCACGGTTCGTCTTAAGAGATACACCCTCTAGCAACTAACGACGGATTTGACGAGGCATTTCCGATTAAAATTCCCAAATGAAAAACTGGTTGGTATTGTTGTATCGAATTTCCGTGTAGTGGGTTAATGATTATTTTCGACTCGCTCGACCGAACATCAACTGTGGCAAATAGCAATTTATTTTCTTTACTATAAATATAAAACGGTCTCGGGAACAGATTAACTTAGAAGTTTTTCATCTTGTTGACTGGGAAGCAATCAACCGAGATCTGTCACTATTGTAGTGTGTTTTGTAATGTAAATCTTGGCCCAGACGAGACGCCATCGCATGAATCTTTCTTCAATATCGTCGATTATTGTCTGCGCACGCGTACACGACCGAAGTCCCACTGCGAAAGCAAAATAGGACGGAGTGTTTTTTTGTCCGCAAAAGTTGGTCCGCTTTCGCGGAACAAGGCCTCAGAAGGTAAATATTGCTCTATAGTTCTCTTCTATACCTCTTGCTTCGTGTCATGTTCATATATTTTTTGCGTCAGGAACGAAGTTCGGTTGAAAATTATTGAAAGTGTTCTGTGCAGTTTGCAAAGATGGCTGGTTGGCTATGGCGTGTCACCCGAGAAGGCAACAGTTTAAGACAACGTGACGACACTGAATTCGCTTGCGAAACTTGGCGGTTTCAGCCGGCCAAAATATCCGGAAACAGAAACTCGGTTGTTACTCGAATATTTTGGTTGAAATTCTTGCGTAAATGACGCTTTTAGCTGGGCTTTTAAGGCCATCTTTTATATCCAGATTTAATCGCCTATTTTTGAGTTTAACTGAATTGGAAACGTGACGAAATGAACCTCGCAAATTCCATCATATTAAATGGCCCCAGACCATGTAAGCAATAACTTGTCTCTCATCTGTTTTGTCTTAAGTTCGAAGTAGCTGGCCGTTCTTATAAAGAAGGGTAGAGAGTTGTTTGGAAAGGCGTTGAAAAATATCGGCAGCAATCTACCAGTTTAATGTATCGGCACTGACACGGTTCCGGCGCATGTATTGCTAAAATCGAAAATGAACGATTACATTAAATATGAAGGGAAACGTGAAAAATGAGGAGACCAGAGCCAGAAGACTTAGCGTTGTAACTTAAAAACTAAAAGGCATTCCTCTATTATCGAAATTCTGCAAAATGTAAACTTCGTTTAGCACGGCCCGTAACATGTAATCGGCTTCCAAATTCATGTGCGTTCAAGCCTATTTGCACATTGTATTGTATTTCCTGGCTGGCTACAGCGAGAACAAAAATTGCTTGTATTAGCCTCAAATGAATAAAACGCGTTCAAAAAGTAAAGTCTTGTGAATGAACCTTTTGCTTGTTGAACTGTTTTTGCGTGTTTGACGGCAAAAGATTGAATGTTTCGCCCCGACAAATTGCGCTCGAGGTTTTAGTTGGCGGCGTAAGTGGCACATTTTCAACGCGTGTTTTCGAAGTCTACGCTCGAATGAGCACGTAAGAACGCATAAATTTGCAAATCGCCGATGCGATTTCGGGTTAGCTGAAGCGCTTTCTCTCGCCATAAAGTAACAGTCACTTTTAAATTTCGTTTTTAAATGGTTTCTGTCTTTAAAGGCAGTGTAGGTATCTTCGGCTTATGCTTCAGTGTTGTTAATGGAGATATGGGCTTCTTTTGAAGTAGACTGTTTGTGTTAATTAATATTCATGGGAAATTGTTTGCCTAATATTCATCGTTTATGGTTAGTGTTTCGTGCGGTGGATCTTAAGTAATTTAACGTCGGTGTCCGCAGAGGAGAGAATTTTCAATATATTGTGCTTTATTATGGTTATTATTCTTCGAAACGTCTTTACAGTGACCGAAAATTAAAAAATACAAATACTGTGCTGAAGAAAAAGATGACCGTCAGAGCACTTTCACACTTTGATTGGGCATAAGCTGAAAGTGGATGCACAGAAATTGAAAGCCTTCCTTCTGTTTTGTGAGATACATTTGTACAGTTTATAAGTTATATACTGATTTAGATATCAATTAATGTTAAGTTTTATTAAAATGTTTAAATTTATTTTGAGAACAGATGTCAAAATTTTTATTTCTTTCATTTAAATTATGCAGATTAAAATAGTTTCATTGTTTCTAAGCCAATGAGTCTGAAAGGTCTGTGATTTTCCAAAACTTCTGTTTTGTCTGTCAAATTTTAGAATGATAGAAGATTGTTTTTTCTTTTTACACTGTTGTAATTTTATATCAAGAATTAACTTATTTTTGTACACTAGAGTTTTTATTGTATGGTGAATCAAACTGCCTAGGAGCACTCATTACTACAGGAGATTTATTCTTTCCCTCTGAACTTTTTGCAAGATTTATCCTTGCCTCTTCGTCTTTGGTATATTCTTATGGCAGCCTAAAAAGAGGATCTGTAAAAAGCAAACATTAAACTTTTAGACCATAATTAAAACAGATAAGGTAAAAAGACAACCATGACAGCTAAAAAAAATGCAACCCTCCAAAGTATCTCAGCAACAGAATTTGAACAGTCATTATCATTACTCTACATGCTCTGGAGACACTGAAATGTTTTGTCAAGCCTGGTTTCTGTAGTTCTATTTTATACTTTCCTTTTTATTCTTAGTCTGATCTGTATGATGTTTTGGTAACTCTGAAAGTATGTGATTCCTTATGATGAAGTAATAACATGGTTATTTTTGGCTTTAAAGATAACTTGCACAAATAACACTTCTTAAAAACTTAACAGTAGTGAAAGTCCCATCTAGGCTCTTTCTTAAGGCTGTGTCACGAAATTCATCAAAAAGTGGGAACACACAGTTGCCACCAAATTGAGTGACACTCTAAAAGAACCCCTCAAAACATTAAAAGAAGGTTTAAATAACACATCAAATCTAAAAGAAGGCACGGAATGGGACTAATTTGAAGAAGATTAAAATAGATCGCAACTGTGGTTTTTGAAAAGGTGTTAGCAGCCTAAATTACTAACAGTTTTTCAAAGTTTATTTTTGATGTCAGTGTTTGATAATAATATTATTAATGCTTGGGAGACACATTTCTTTGACATGAGGCTGTGATTTTGTAATTTAATACAAGTAATTTTGTCACTAACATTAACTTCCTTTACAAATAAGGAAGTGTAAATGGCAATTAAGCAAAATGAACTAGACAGCCATGACAGTCACTTGGTTCTCTGTTGTGGTGCTTTAGTTAAAGTTATAGTCATGATACGTTTCCTTAGACAGCAGTGGTAAGTGGCCTGCAAGCTTAGCTTGCTGATGAGGAGACTTTCCCTAGCAATAAGACCTTTTTTCATTTCCTTCAATAGTAGGGTGGATTCAATAGCGCCATTTCCATATAACCATTGCTTTTTGCAATTGGAATTTTTATTTTTTAAAGCTCGAACACAATGAAAATTTTGATCAGGTAAATATTAAGTCATAATATGCGAATGTGTTGTAAATGAATCCACCCATGGATTAACCAAATTACTTTAACTAAAGTAGAAATGTTTAATTTTGGTCACTGGAATAGACCCATTGATGTTGATAGACTTCATAGAGTTGACCCACTGCTTAACACGTGTGTATGCTTTGTGATTGTCTTAAATGAGACCTGCTTGCAGGTTGTATATTAAAAATGTTCCTAGTCTGAATTTTAAAAGCCCTTGATTCGTGTGTGAGCAGGACGCCAAGTCCCAGTTTACTATTTTAATTACTATCATTGTATTTGCACTTGTCTTTGTTGCTGATGGAATTTAAATCCATCTGTGTGTCGTTTGTTGCCACTTTATCTGAGTGTGTTAAGGTGATGATGCTTCTTGGAATTTACCACAAGAGAGCCTCTTAAATGTTACTACTCACACATTTTCTCCAATGTGTCGGCAAGGTCTCCAACATATTTCCTTAAATTCTTTGAATCAAACGGTCAATGAAGTTGGCAGTTCATTGTCAAGTAATTAGATGTACTTTTAAATATGTACAGTCAAACTACCTTCATACGTACACTAAGGGGCCATAAAAAGTGTCTGTATTGTAAGTGTCTGTACAGGGCGTCCACATTAAGCGGGTTAGAATTGAGAGAACATTGACTGTAGGTATTTTACCTGACATTAGAGTGGTTTTCGTTTGAGTGTCGTAAAACCAAAACCAAAGTAATTACTCTGGCCAATTACATAGGACAAAGACAATACATTGAACCAATCAAAACTCGAAGTAATTACATGCGGCTGACGCAAAGCGCGGGAAAATGCATGCGAGCGTGTCACAATTGGCTTTGGTTTTACTTCTGATTGGATGAAAAGGTGGCGCGAATCTTTTAAGCCAATCGCATCGTGTAGAAAGTGCAAAACCAATTACTTTTCGACACTCAAATGAAAACCGCTCTATATGGTTTCTAGGGTGATGGACAACGGCAATAATCAGAATGATGATCATCAACCTCCTGCACCTGCTTCAGATCTGTCTGCAATAGACATGGATAATTTTGAGCAGCTCACTTCTGAACTACCTGCTGTAGGCAAAAACACATTGCAGTTTGATAATGCAGCTGTTGAGGAGGATGCTGAGTTGTCTCTCAGTATTGAAGACGATCAGGACACAGGGAATCCCACCAATGCAGATATGAAGATGGAATTAATGCCCGTGGAATCAGATGTAAGTTTCACAAAATAAAATATTGCATGTATTTTTTTAACCCAGTCCTGAGAGTTACCAAAATCAATTTTCTCTTAATGATATCCATACATTGTCAGGAGATTAGGTTATGAGAGGTAATAAAATAATCACCAAAGAGAAATGCCTTGATCATTTTTCAAATTCTCTCAACACAGTCTTTAAGGAAATGTGTGGAGATTAGTTTGGAGAATTTGTACATGGATATTGGGGCTTAAAGGGTTAACTAATTAATAAGCCTCTGTCTAGTAGTGACTACCTGCATGGACAGGACAAAAGTTACTAACTGGTGGCTTTAATAGTAATTTTTAATTATTAATTGCGAAAGAGCAGCCTCACGAGGCTGCGAGGCAGCAACCTAATAGAGCCGTGCGCAATAGTTCCAGGGGCAGAAAAAATCTCGAATTGATGAAACATATAGTAATGTAAGGCAGCAGTTATGATGTAATGCAGAACAGAGAATGCATTGTTTTTTAGCAAACTCTTGATACAAAATCCATGAGCCGTGTGCATGTTTGTGAGTCCCGTGCTCATCCCGTCTTCAACCAATCGTCGGGTGGATATTCATTTGCATCAAAATTTATTGTGTCTTGGAAGCAAAATAGTACTTAGTAAAGGTGGGATTTCAAATTCTTTATGCAAAGGAACAGTTTACTTGACTATTTTCATAAGACAAACTTAAAGCAATTTAGGGCACACATACACCAACCCATGATCCGACTTCCCTGCATATGTGGTGGGAAAACTGCCGTGCTGGATTTCCAACCAATAGTTCCCACATGTGTTGTGTGGAGCTGGTGCTTAAAGGAATGCTTTACACTACTGGCCCACCACAATAAAGGGTCTTTGAGACACAGGTTTTCTCTGTTCTTTGACCCGATGGTAATGCCATAATGGTGAACTCCTATAAGGGTGGAACAACTGTCTATGGCTACCACTGCCGCGTGATATGGTTGTATGCATGCATGAAAAACAGGCCAGGACGTGGGTTGGTGTAATGTGTGCTTCTTGCTTTAAAGAGTTGCACTTAAAGGAGTTGCTCCAACAATGAAGGGTCTTTGAGACATGAGTTTTCCCCATTCATTGACCCAACAGTTATGCCATGATGATGAGCCTCAATAAGGGCAAAACAGTTGTCCATGGCTGCCACTGCCTGGGTGATATGGCTGTGTGCCTTCATGAGATAGTGGCCAGGTGGTGGGTTGGTGTATGTGTGCCCCTTGCTATAACTATTTTCACACTAATTTTCACTTATGCAATCAAATTAAGTTCAATCTGTTTTTCATAAATTACTGTAATTCATTACAGGTCTAAACAAATTGAACAGCATGTGTATGCACTCTTTTTTTCTATAAGAATATATTTTATAAGAATATCAATGCAGAAATTTGTGAAATTTTATGAATATTTTAAGAATAAACCCCAGGCTGAGATTTTGAAAAGGGTATAATTTTGTGTGTTCAAAAACTTAATAGTACCTTACAATAAACTTAATTATTCCATTCTCCAAATGGCAAAACTTGCCAACAAAACGAAAAAACCTGCACTAACTATAATTGATCACCCCAATATATTTTAAAAATATGGAAATGCCATAAGCTATAATAATTGAAGAATAATACAAGAATATTTTCAGCCTAAAATTGGCAGAAAAATAAGAATGTTCTAGCCTTAATAAGGCCAGAGAAACAACATTCTTAATAATGAAAAAAAAAGTGTAGGTAAAATCTTTGCTTGTTGGCACTTAGCAAATAGCTATAACTATATAGTTATAATATTATAATATTATGATTAGAGGTCCACCTGAAAACAGCATTAGATGTGGTATATATTTTTCATGTTATTTAAGCATGCAGAATAAATGAATGAATACAATAAATTTAATAATGAAATTTATTGTATTTATTTAATGTGATATTAAATGAACGATTCAGTCAGGCATTTAAATATTAATTTATTCATTAGCATATATGTAGTTTTCTATTTACCAAGTGTATTTGCGCAATGTGCCTCATACAATCTGCATTTACTGTTTAGTTGTGGTGTTTTTCAATTTTTTTAAATTGATTTTCAATCCTACAAGTTAAAGGTATTTGTGAAAATAGCCATGCTTTCCACAAAGAATTTATTTTTCATGAACATACCCTAGGGCTTGCATCCAGAAACAGATGATGCTAGCTGTGAGGAACCAGATCCCACAAAGGAAGATACACTAGCACCAGAAGCCATGACAGGAACAGAACCAGCAAATTCAGATACTAAAGAATCCAAAGCTACAGAAACGGGTGTCTCTACTCCATCAGTTTCCTTTGATGACAAAGCTGAACAAAATTCACAGGAAGAAGAAGAGGAAGAAGAGGAAAAGCCTGTGAAGTTTGGAAAAATTGTTGATCCTCATGTCTTGGGGTGCTGTGAATTCTGTGGTGGTCCTGTTAAGCGGCGGAGGTTTTGTTCTCCTCTCAAAAGATTCTGCTCCAAGGGTTGTTCTAGAAGTTCAAGGAAAGCTAAAGTAATGTTTCCCTTATAAATAGAAACTAAGTGTTAGCTTGTACATTTATACTTCAAAAGGCTTTGGCTTAGGATGTCGGCATGTAAAAAAGCCTGTTTACATGCATTTTCTCAACATTTGTTCACTTATGTTTGGCTTAACCATTTAATGGCAAAACGTTTTTAACAGATTGTCCAACATTGTTGAACTTATTTATTGAGAAGTATTGAAAGCTTGCGCATGTTAATGTGTAGTCTGTGCGAGCAGTCACGCCTTTATCGGCTCTTGTTTCATCTGCTGAGAAAAGACATCTGCTCTCATCACTGGATAGTTAATGTGTTAAAGCAAATTAATTTAAACCAGTAATAGCAACATTGCTTTAACCTTCTTTTCTTGAAAACTATAAAATAAAAATCCTTTATTAAGCCCCCCTCTTTGATAAGCCCCCCCCCCCCTTTTCAGTAGAGGAAAGTTATGAAGCCCTCCCCACCCTACTAACCTTGTCCTTAAAATAGAATGTGTTAAATCATGACTTTGCTTGAACCAAAGATACCTTTTATTCTTTGCTGACTTCACAAGTTTACTGATGTAGACAGCTTATGCATTTGTCATGGATAGGCTGGGCCTATAATAATAATTATTTATATATGTAATATGTCAGAAAAAGGAGATTGAGGATATTATCAATGGACAGGAAGTGGATGAAGGGAACTCTTATACCTGCACAGTAACAGGTAAGTGACTCAAAGTCATACATTAATAGAGAGGAAAAGTGTGATGTCATGTTACTTCTGGACGTGGTTCCTCAAAGGATGGTTAAGTTTAATCCAGGATTAAGGCAAATTTCAAGCAACGTTTTCTTGTCTAAGAACATGTTACCGCGGGCTTTCAAAATAATGTTGTGCTTTAACTCTGAGATTCTGTGATGATAACATAAGAATGCTAATCTAAGGAATGCATAGGAAGGCAAATACAAAAATGGAAGACATTTTCGAAGGATGGAAGTACCTGTTCCCGAGTACAGTGCAATCATGCACAGGAAAGTGTTGTTTCTTTTTTTTTCTGCAATGTTTGCAGGACCGTGGTTTGTTGGGATCCAGAAATTTTGCCACCATGCTAACATGACGTAACAACTTCTCCACTCTACGTTATTATAAGTATAGGTAATAGCATGATTAATTTGTAGTGATGTTTGGCATAAATACTGTGAGTGATATTTCAAAAGTAAAATTCGAGACAATTTTGAAATATCACAAGTGGTATTTCTGCCAAGTATCATGTACAAATCATGCTATTATTTGTTTATACTACTACACGCAAAAGGTTTGTAATTTTCACATGTAGGTATTTCAAATTAACCTGAAATACCACTGCTCTAAGCCAATCACATTGCAGAAATTTCTCATGTAGTAGTATAACTAATGGTATCTCTAGTCACATTCATGGTGATAATATAAAAAAAACCATTTTTGCACATGTTGAATGATTAGTAATGATGTAGTGGAACATACGTCATTTTAAGTACATTCAATCAGTATAGACAATTATTATGCTGTTTACATGCAGATACCATTGTCTGCCATTATACTGTACTTCTTGTTGATTTAAGCAGGCATGTTTTTGTTTAACTGTGGGGGAGGGGGGGGGGTTGAAAAAAAGCAATGGGTGCTTTCAAGCAATAAAATGTGAATATCATAACTTCTATATACACAGGAGGCAGTTTGTCATTTCAAGCATTAAAGCAGGTGCTCCATATAGAGAAAAATTGATCAATGCAGGTAGTGGGTGGGAGCACTAAACAAAAAACTGTAATCATCAGGGTTGTCAAAAGTAGCCGGCTGCCGGCAAAAATCGCCGCCTACTTGGTTAGCATCAGCTGGCTACTCTGCTTAGCATTTCTTTACAGATGGGGTTTTTTAATTGAAATATCCCTGGACTGGCCACTTACTTTGACATCTCAGCTGTCTACTTTAAAACTTTCTGACACCCCTGAATCATGCTCCTGTTGGCTTTGTCATTTCCTTGAGAGTTGTTAATTTTGTGTGTATTTTAAGGCAGCGAGGGTGAGGCCCCTCATAAAGTCACTTGGACTGATTACATGGAAGCTGCTCTCAGCAAGGCTGCTCCTGATTGTTGCTTCAAGCATGTGAGTGTCTTATATAATCTATATTGTGATATTTTGCCAGTTCTGGATGAACTTCTGGGTAGTCTAAATTGTCTCAGCTTTCGCTTGAGCTATACTCTGCCATTGTTGTTGACTGCAGTGTAGCAGGATTAAAATGAGCTAGCTGGCCTGTGCTGCTGTTCCACAGGACACACCTTCACTGAGAGCTGCCATTGACATCGCTAGCACTGTTTTTGCCATCTATTATCACTATTATTATTATTATTATTATTATTATTATTATTTATTGCTACTATTATTATTTAATTTTTTATGTATATTGTTGTTGGAAGTTGAAGAATTATTGTAATTTTGTAAGTAATATTTATTTATTCACCCAACAGACAACAGTTGAAGTTCCTGGCTTAAAACCTGGCATGAAACTGGAAGCAGTTGATAGGAACAACCCACCTTCATTCTGTGTTGCCACGGTTATACAGAAGGTTGGACAAAGAGTGCGCATTCGTTATGATGGGTTTGGAAAGGATAGTAGCAACGACCACTGGTGTAACTTCCAAGCAGAGGAACTTCACCCAATAGGATGGTGTGCACAGAATGGATACCCTCTACAACCACCAAAAGGTAAATAACAAGTCATGTATTTGTATAGGTGTCTCCTTAACCCTTTAAATCCCAGTATCAACATACAAATTCTCTAGACTGCATGACCTGTATGCATTTCTTAAGGAATTGTTTATGAGAATTTGGTACAAGATCAAACTTTTTTCTCTTTGCTGATCATTTTGTCAATTCTCTTAACTTTTTCTCTTGATAATGTATTGGAATTGTTAGGAGAAAATTGATTTTGGCCAGTCTTGGGAACTAAAGAGTTAATTAGTAGATTTAGTACAAGACTTTAAGTGTTGGTTTGGATCTTAGGGGTGGTTGAACCCCAAGGCAGTTATTACTGAAACCTCCGATGTTAACATACTTAAGTTGGAACGGATTTGTCCTGCCACATTTACTGTCACATTTTTTTAATTTCTGTGTCCTGTCTTGACTCAATCTTTTTGATTTTGTTGATTTGTAAAACACAATTCTGTCCCAAATTTGATAGTATTATTTGACTGATCCCTTTTGAAACTCATTTTAACTGTAAATAATTTCTTATTCTGTTTTATCATTTTAGGCATTAATAGCACTCTAGAGGACTGGAGAACTTTCTTAACTCAGACGCTAACTGGTGCACTTGCTGCACCCCATGACCTTTTTAGAAAGGTATGTGGTGATTGGTGTGCCAGTCATCGATAAATTACATGTATAATACTACTGTATGAGAAATTTCTGCAATTTGATTGGCTTAGAGCAGTGGTACTTCAGCTTAATTTGAAATACCTACATGTGAAAATTACAAACCTTGTGTGGGTAGTAGTATAAACAAATAATAGCGTGATTTGGACATGATATTTGGTATGAATACCACTCGTGATATTTCAAAATTGTCTCAAATTTCACTCGCCTAACGGCTCCTGAAATTACGTGTAACAATTTCGAGTTATCACTCGTGGTATTTATCCGAAATATCACTGCAAATCATCCTGTTACCTATACTACCGGTAATCAGTCATTGATCAAAAGCTTACATGTAAGTTGACCCATATAATAATCAATTATAGAAAAAGTTAAATCAACATGTGGAAAAATGAAAAATGAAATCTTTGCAATTAAAAAATATGTTAAAAATAGCGGGTTTTTTAATAGACAAATATTAATGCAGCTATATAAATCTATTGTCTGTTTTTTTTGTGCTCTTTATAAACATGGCGCAAAATGAATCCCCTTAGCAAAAATGGTCCAAAGCTCAAAAGTTAGATGTTACTTTGACTTACACACAAAAGTCATGTGAAAAATAAATTCCATACTTTTGAAGAGATTTTTCTAAATAGTTAAAGACAATATATGATCGTTCCATTAGGTCAATCTGATTATTGCTGATATAATCAATTATTATTCTGAAAATCTCAGCCAATTCCCAACCATGTTGTTGTTGTTGTTTTTTTCTAATAAACTTGGTTCTTTTCAAGCAGACTCAAGAGCACTTCCAGCCACGAGTTCATGGGTTTGAAGTTGGCATGAAGTTGGAGGTAGTTCACCCCATAAAACCATCAATCATCTGTCCTGCTACAGTGACTAAGAGTCTTGGGCCGTACTACTTTGCCATCACCACTGATTACCAAGAAGATGTCCCTTCTGTCACATTCTGTTGTCATAGTGACTCTCCAGGGATATTTCCAGCGGGGTGGTGTTCTAGGCATCAGGTTGAACTTGCCGTCCCTGCAAGTAAGTGGAAAGAATATCACCAACTTTGCTGGAGAAATATGCTCATTAAGTACAAAAGTGTCAGAAATGCACAGACCTGTTTTGGTTGAAATATGTACTTATTTGAGTGTCAAATGTAATTAGCGTGAAAGTACTAATTGGCGACACTTATTTTACATTTCCAACTGGAGACAGGACTGCCGTGTGATCATAAGAGCCATGCAAAGGTCTGACCCACTTGCAGTGCAAAGGGAGTACCTTCATTTCTCAGTTGTTTTAAGACCCTAAAGTATTGGTCTGGCCCTGGGAAACAAACCCACGACCTCCCGCTCTGTAGTGAAGTGCTCTACCGAATGAGCTACACATCCTGCTGCAGTTAAAAAAGAGTATTTTTGGGCATGGGAATTTGGTAGTGATCCTTTGGGTGGATATAGTCATTTTCATTGGTAACAAATTCAAAAGTGCTGTGTGACAACCCAGGCTAGTGGGACAACTGGGCCCGTCAATAATAATTAATAATTGCTATTTCTCCAGGCTAATTAGTAATATTATTATTCATTTGATTTTTTATGGTACTTTCTTGTGAAGAGAATGACCGTAAGGCCACTTAAAGAGCGAGTCGATAGTTTTGTCGAAATTTGTGTCATTGCATGTAATGACTGTGTGGATTGGCAAGTAAGGCAGAAACAGAAGTTGGCTTTTTATATATTGGGTTGGTAGTTGCAGTGTTGTTATTGATATGTGATGTTGAGTTACTTGGTCTGTTGTTTGTATTTTCACTGTTTTTAATGATCAAGAAATGATTCTGGCTGGATATTTTGACTGCAGAAGTATTTTACAGAAAACATTGGCAGAGGCAACTGGGCCAGCAGCTTCAAAACCAAGCGAAAATTGAGATAAAGGAAGAATAATTAATTGTTCCTTTATCTCAATTATTGTCAGACATGCAATTATTGTCAGTGTGACTCACTTAGCAAAAGAGTCTGTTTAGGCTGACGATATGTTTCTCCAAAGTATGTTTCAATTTGGCTCTTTACCATCAAAACCCTGCAAAAAGTCTTTTTCCCTGTCATTCTTTTTCTTAAATAGCTTTATTGGGTTTCATTATCTTATACATAGTTACGTAGAAACTTTTTTAAAAAGCAATAAAAAGTAGGAGAAGAAAAAAAAGAAAAAAGGTATTATATCAAAAGTGGCAAGAACTACCAAGACAAGACCATAAGGACTTAAAGAAATAAAAAAAAAAAAACAAAATATAAAAGGGCAAAATTAATTATTAAATAAATTGTTATCTCATTTGGAATTCATTTTACATGATGAAAAACTCAAATTTAGTTTGCCATTTTTCGCACTGATGGATCAAAGTTTCAGGGCCATACTTCGGCCCAAAGTATAGTAATTTGCATGCGAACTGCACTGCCTTTTTTGTATTTTTTTTTTCTCAATCTTGCAGACAAAATAATACTAAATATGCTTTTCAATACACTTTTAAACATAAAACCAGACAATGCGGAAAGAATAAGAAGAAGAAGAAAAAAAGAAAGAGTGACCTTCATGACTATATTTGCAGCTGATCACCTATCCGGTTATTAACCCCGCCAGACACAGTCTTAACTTGAGTGGTGCTACTGAAAAACTGAATTTTGTGAGGGTTATTGCGAGATTTGTTTTGTAGTAACATGTTGGATCTTTGAATCTTAATTCAGATTACACCAAAAAGACATTCACGTGGGACAAGTATTTAGCCCTTTGCCGTGCACCATATGCACCTGGTCACTTGTTTAGGGTAAGTGTGATTAACCCTTTAAGTCCCAATAGTGACCAAGATCAATTTTCTCCTAACAATATCCATACATTGTCAACAGATAAGTTATAAGAATTAATAAAATGATCACCTAAGTAAAAATGCCTTGATCTTTAAACAAATTCTCTTAACTCATAGGAAATGTATAGAGATCAGTTTGGAGGATTTGTATGTAGATACTTAGGCTTAAAGGGTTAAGAGGCAGATCAAGAATAGTTAAAACATGGAAACTGCAGTATAACATTTTAAAATTGTTTTTTAGTGTTAATCCATTTCACCCCTCAGTATTTCTGTTAGCCGGATTAGAAATTTGGTTCAGATCAGCCAAATTGAATTAGAACTGCCTGACAAGTTACCCAGACATTACAATATTGCCATTGAACCTCCATGTTCAACCACCTCTCGTATAGTGTCCAGCGCCCATCCAAAACACCATGTTCCCAGTCATAGCCCTATAAGTAGATCTGCTTGTAAACAACCACCTCTCACAAGTGGCTGGAAGCACTTTTTGGCCTGACCATTTATAGTTTTCCAGTACTGTGCAAACAGTGAACGAGCAGGAGTGTATTATGCCGAGAGTTTTTAAACCTGATAAAATACGTGACTGCGAGTTTTTTGAACGGCTTCAAAATCTCTGTTATAGATCAACTCATTCTTGTATTAATATTTAGATTTGGGATTATTTGTTTTAAAATTTGGACATAAAGTTAAGCCTGTCTTTATCTGATATAAAGACACTCATTAAGCATTAATTTCTTTTGGTTTTTTTATGAATATTATTTATGAGTTCTTGAATTGTTTTTACCCTCTTGTAAGCAACCACTTGGTGCACAGTGTAGTCTCTTTGTTTGCTGTAATTGTATTACCCACCCTGAGTAAAGAAATTTCAGCTGCAACAAATTCTCTACCAAAACATAGATGTGTCGGGACCTCTTCACAGATTAGAGACCCGTTGTAGTTCAATTCTGGTAAGTGACCACCTGCCATTAACAACTCCACTAAAATAATCTTTACAGTTTGGGTGGCTTCTTTAAGCAGGTTCGACTGTATAATAATAGTCACTGTAATTGTGATGCTCCAGTGCTTAAACTATTTCTATTATTTTTAATGCAGAAACCCAAGACCCATAAATTCAAACCTGGCATGAAGCTGGAAGTAGTTGATTTGGAGCAGCCGCAAATCATTCGTGTTGCCACTATAACAAATGGTATGGGGCGGATGTTACAGCTATTCTTTGATGGCCAGCAAAAGTTTCAGTTTGTGGATTTTGAGTCACCTGACATTTACCCCATTGGCTGGTGCAAAAGAACTGGACACCCCCTTCATTCGCCGTTTGGTCCAAGTAAGTTTTGATTGTGTAATCAGGTTTAAAAAATGTTGATAAGTGTAAGTGCAGTTTGTTGATCTATTTTGAGTTTACAGGCACTCCACACAAATACAAATTAATTACTGTAAGAGGATTATAATGTCCAACTGCAGGAGGCAACCAGTCTCTATGCAAAAGCCTGACCAAGGTTTTGAACTTGGAACGACCGAGAAACAAACCCAGCTAGTGGCCATAGCAGGAATCAAAGCCAGGACTGCCAGATTGTGAATCTGACATGGTGACCACTGGGCCACGCTTTATATAGTGTTGCCTCATACCGATCAGTTAATGTTACAGCGCGCAGACGCAGAGAAAACACAATATTCTTTGGTGGGCAAAGTTGGGCAGGGAATATACCCGCAAGGCTCGGATAAAACCCACCGACCGGATGATGACCGAATGAGGGGCCTCGGTACATGGCGCCATACCGAGGGGGTGCCTCATGCCTGTACTGCAAGGGAGGGCATAGTTCACGCGTGAAAACGCATGGCCGGCATAATGTCCTTGGGCCAAGTTAACCAAGTCCAGCAAATCCTATAGCCCCCCCTCCCTGACGGGGCTTCAGCACAGGGCTGAAGGGGTGCCGCAGGCAGCAATTCCCCGCCCAAAACGCCGAGTAATACGAGAAGTGCCCTGTGTAAAGCCCCAGTCTCTAAGACCCTTTCTCCACCTGGTCGCGAGGGCTGGATACAGCTCTTATCCGCTCCACGGGGGAATGAAATGAACCAGAGACCATCGGTGGAGAAAGGGGATTGAGGAGTGGACAAGCGGGTATGATCACGTTCTAACTTAAGAACCCAACCGAAACTAAACTTGGGTAGCATGACTTAATGAATGTTCTAGTAGGACACAGTGTTCTCAATTGTGTTACAATGAGACATCATAGTGTTCTCAATAAACAATACAAAGAGACACCGTAGTGTTCCCATGTTGTTTGGTTTTTTTTTGTTGTTGTTGTTGTTGTTGTTTTTTTTTACGCAACATAAGAATGTTCGTGATAAACAGTATAGAGCAGCATAACAGTGTTCCCAAAGCCAAGGAAGCGTGGACAATAGTCATTGCGATGTGACATCTAATTGTTTTCGAGTCATTAACTGGATAGACAGGAGGCCAAATTTTGAGGGACTTGGAGAATGGTTTCTTTGGGTGTCCTGATGTACGACTGATATGCATCAGATTTCCAACGGCCAAGAACTTTAATGAGCCAGTCTGGAAGGCCAGCAGCCCCCGCAGTAGTGGCTGCTCCAATGCGGAAACTGTGTGATGCATAGCAGGTACTATCCAATCCACAAACCTTGAGAAGAGCCCGTAAGTTGTTGGTGAGGGAGGACCGAGTAAGATGTCGTCCATCCGAGAATTGGAAGAGGGGCTGGGTAGCTCCACTGGGATTAGTTTGAAGCAGATAGTCTCTTAACGCGGTGACTGCACATACAGTAGAGTTTGATTTGGCGATAGTGAGCTTGGCTGTCTCACGGAAAGGGTCTGTTTTGGACTTCTTGATGACAACCTCGAAAGACACAGGTTGGACAATGTTGGGGTAAAAGTGGACGTCCGATCTTGTCAGGTGGGATTGAATATTGAACTTGCCGTTGTAAGTGAATTCGCTACTACGTAGAAAGCCAAAGAACGCAAGGGTAAAAGCAGCCCACAACATTGAAGAATCTGTGTCCAACGATTGGAAGGGTTTTAGTTTGGCATAAATTTGGCGGAGGATCGAAATAGTAATAGGGAACCGGGCCCGTTTGGCAATCCCGAGGGAGGATTTGATCCCTCGAAGGGTCTTGTATAGGAAGGGCATGGAGGAGAAGTCCAGGGGACAGCCAAACTCAACATGGAGATTCTTAACTGCTGCCAGATAAACTTTAATAGTGCCATACGAAACGGTATTGGATAAGTGGGTGACGAAATGAATTAAGGTTGATTCACTGGTAGGGAGAAAAGGGGTTTGGGGTGAAATGAGTTTATGAAAAAGGCAAAATCTAATAAAGTGTCGCTCCCCAGAGGAATAGGTTCGACGAGTAGAGCTGGCGATGGACTGGAAAATGTAGTGAGCAGCCTGCATAGTTAGACTTTCGTCAGGAAAGGAGGGATTGGACAGGGAACGGGCGATGCATCTGGTGCGAGTTGGTGGAACCGGGGCATCTGAAAGCGAGATAAACTATCAGCTATGCCGTTGTCGACCCCTGGGACGTGCTTTGCGGTAAAGGTAAAATTAAACTTCAAAGTTTGAAAGGTGATCAAACGGACAAGGTTCATGATGCGGGGAATTTTTGAGCTTTTAGCAGACAAAACTGCGACGACTGCCTGGTTGTCACAATGAAAACAAATTCTCCTGTTAGCCCAATGGGGCCCCCAAATCATGCAGGCAAGGTAAATTGGGTAAAGCTCTTGCCAGGTAATACTTATCCCTGTGGAGGGGTTGAGCTGGTGGGAGGGGAGCCATTTTCCCTGGAACCACTGATTGTCAAAGAAGGCCCCGTATCCGACTGCACCCGCTGCGTCTGTATATAAATGGATTTGTGGGGATGATTCTGTGTAAGGGGGGAGAAAAAGGCTAACACCATTCCAGTGGTCGAGGAAAAATTGCCACATGAGGATGTCCTTTCTGAACTCCTGGGTGAGAAAAATAATCCGCTTGGGGCGGGCACAACCCCGGGTAAGGTTAATGATGCGCTGCATGAAAGGGCGACCAGGGGAAATAACCCGGCAGGCGAACTGCAGAGTCCCAATGAGGGACTGCAGGTCCTGTAGACGACAGACCCGTTTGGAAGACCAGTCCGCTAGCAGGGACCGGGCATTACTTAACTTATCCTCGGGGAGACGAGCCTGCATGTTTACGGAATCGAGTGTTATTCCCATGAATTCAAGAACTTGGGTGGGGCGAAAGGTTTTCTGTGGGGCAAGGGGAATGTTTAATTCCTCAAAGAGGGTAAGAACCCGGCAGAGGGCTGTGGCACAAAGGGACGAGGGGGCAGGTTGAACAATGAAAAAATCGTCGAGAATGTGTATGATGGAGGGGATGTTCAGGTGTTGTCTGACCAACCATTCCAGGGCATCAGCGAGTTGATTAAAGAGAAAAGGGGCACTCCTTAGCCCGAAGGGGAGGGCTTTGTCGAAGTAATAACGACCCTTCCAGGACATCCCCAAGAGTTCCCAATCCCCGGGGTGAACGGGGATAATTCGAAAAGCGGACTGTATGTCAGTTTTTGTCATAAAGCACCCGGGGCCGTGGTTGAGGACCAGGGCAATGGCATCGTCAATCCGAATATACTGAAGGGTGTAATCCTCAATGGGTATGTTAGCATTTAAGCTATCCGGGGACCCCTTGGGGTAGGATAGGTGGAAAATAGTGCGCCACTTTTGGCTTCCCTTTTTGGGGACTAGGCCGAGGGGATGAATTTGAAAATTTTGAAAAGGGGGGGATTCAAAGGGGCCAGCCAGGCGACCAAGCTGGACTTCCTCTAGCAGGTTTTTCTCAATAACTTGGGGTTGTTGGATGGCAGATGGGAGATTCTTGGCAGCTCTGGGGAAGCGGTTACCTTTGTAACCCAAGTGGAAACCATGGCTTAACCCATCGCAAAGTCTAGTTACAAAAGCTTGATTAGGGTGAGTCTTAAGAAGTTTGTGTAGCAGGGGAACATTCACCGGGGTTTGGGGTTTGTATGATATGGCGGCTTTAGCGGTTTGAGAGTTTCTTATCACCCTGGCCTCTAGTTTTTGAAGGGGTGTCATCGTGTCGGTAGGCAGGGTGTTCTCCATTGCAGACCCTGCAGCGGTGGCTGAAGGAGCAGGGGTCCTGGCTGCATTTGGCACCTCTGTTGTAATTGTTACACGTTCCTCGTTGGGTAGGATTGGGCCTAAGGGCAGAGAGGGAACACCCATGAGAAAAATGATCCCCACTACCACATATGGTGCAAGAGGATTTTGCCTGCCCTGTAAATTTCAGGAGGTACAATTGTATATCCCTTTCCCCCCAATTAAGGGAATGGTGGGCGGCTGCTTTCCTACGAAAGTCTATATCGTAGGAGAGCCATGCAAATCCCGCGAACTTACGGTAGGCCGAGCGGATGATCTCTTGGTAAGCAAACATCTCGACAGCCCTGTGGGGGAAGGAAGTCAGAAAGATTGTACAAAAAACAGCAAAGGCCGAAAGCCACCTATCGATTGAGTCAATGTGGGTTTTCTTCTTGCGGGCAGGGGTGGGAATATTCACTTGTTTCCCCTCGAACGAAATGGACACCCCGGGGAGTTCGCTTTCGTTTAGGCAGGAGTTTTCTGGCAGCAAAGAATCGAATTCAACAAACTCACCGCGTAGGATTAGTTGCCGAGTCTTCTGGGGGACGTGGGCTGCGATGGATGAGGAAGCTGGCTGCATTCGGGACTGAGATGGGCCGTAGTTCGAGGAACCCGATTGTGAAAGAAGGCTCGCGACGAAAGCAGGGTCAGATAGTTGTTGTCGCGCTGGAGGTTGGGGAACTGAATGTGCTGGCTGTTGTGGTACGGGTGATGGGTTCGTTGATGCGAAATTTTTTAGCTTTTCATCGACTATGGTGGCGATGAGGGTGGCTAGAGCCGCTGGATTTGAGACGGGGTTAGGCGGAACGCCCCTGTCGCGGACGCCATCTTGTGCTTCGCACGTGGTTAGTTCGGTATCGCGTCTTTGAAGTCTCTCAGCCTGCGGCGGATCTTGTTCATCATTCCGAGCGCTCGGTAAATCGCCTTCCTCGTTGGGCTGCTCAACGTCACCGGGTAGGTTAGGGGCGACAGGAGAAGAATCGGTGTTCGTGCGAGGCCTTTTGGCTGCTGGGTCGGCGGAATCGGAGCTTCGTGTACGTGATGTTGGCGCATCAACATTGATCGTGCCCAGGCGTTCGATCATCTGTTCGCGTGTTCCCGAGATAGCAAGCTGGTTTTGGGCCAGTAAAAGGCGAAGGACCTCGTTCGTAACGCCTGAAAGATCCATGAAAAACTTTGGTGCTGAAAAAACTTTGGTGCTGCTCAACTTGCAGCCTTCAAAGAAAGTGGCGATTGAACGGACTGGCGCAGAATAAGACAAAGAGGCAGGCTGCCAAATAAGGAGATCGCGTGTTTGGGATAAACCGCAGTAGCGATGCAGGCTCAATAGTTGTTGCTTGCCAACATTAACCTTTATTTTATGCTAAAATATCAATTCATAACAGTCCAGTGTTGATCTAGCCTACAAGATATCTCCAATTGAAGTGGTGAGCAAAGCAAGGTGCAAAAGAAAACGAAAGCTTTAGCCACCAGAGGTAGAAGAAAAGGAGAGCTAGAAATGATCTCTGAAGGATTTTTATTTCTGCTTTTTTAAAAATGAATAGCTCCTTACAGTTGGAAATAAATTTTCATTGATGACAGGCGTGGCTGTCTGTGCATCTGGGTGATTCTTAAGGTTCAATTTGGTCTCGAGTCCACACTTTATAGAAACTAGCAAAACAGAAGAGATTGCAGTGAAAAAGTTTGCCAGGAAATCTAGCTTCTACTAAATAGGACCACCTTTTTTGTATGTAGTGGCATTTATGAATTTCGAGAAGAAGAGTGGATTTCATCTCAAAGTGAATATGTAAATCATTGTGGTGATAAAAACATTGTTTTGAAACAGTGGAAAGCTTGGAGTGGTAGCTTAACTTTCATATGAGGTCAAGGTTTTGACTGACAGCTGTCGCATTTCTTGTCTCTGGTACAATGTTTTTAGGCTTTATGGTTTCTGGGGTTGAAAGAAAATTTATTAAAGATTGCTTTAAATCCTCTTTCCTCACTCTCGCATCTTCTCTTGTGTGTGGCTTGCCCATAAGAGAAAAGGAGAGCTTGCTCACACGGGTTAGTGTTGATCTCATCTTCCCACTCAGTTAAGCTTTTCAAAGAAACTGGGCTGCTAAAACAAGGTGCCAGATTGACAGTAAACACATTAAGTTTAATTGTTGCCCAGTATGACAGAAGTCTGTTTTTTTTAGTGAACTTTTGAGTTTTGAAGTTAATCTTTTCATATCATTGAGGAGACTATTTGATCATTTACTGTTTTTTTTTTTTATTTCATTACAGTTCCATCAGATGCAGTAAGGTTGGTATTCCCTACGTGACTGTTTTTCAGCTTAAATTTTTGCAATTTGCTTGAAGAGCATTTCTCTGTCCTTTTTTTAAAATATTTGCTGTGTAATTGGTCAGTTTTTTAGAGAGCTTTAATGTTATTTACAGGTGCAGTAAATTTTGTTCTTGGTCCAGTGAACAAACCGATCTTCGGTAGCCATCCCTTGTGGAAAAGTGAATTACAATTATTTGAAAAATAAGTTGTAGTGTTTAAAGGTCTCCGATTTTTTAGTATTGTAGCTTTCAACTGTATCGCACAGTCATATGAATTAGTCACGTGACGGCTAATGATAGAGAACCGCGGGAAGTTCTTAACCCCCATCTCTATTGAGGGTTGAATGCTGGCATCTGATAGGGATGGCCTTAATTTGAGTTTTCTTTTAATGTCCACCGTCTCCTGGTCAAGGATCTTGATCCCCTTCCAGTCGATCTCGTGGTTAGCGTTAGACTGGTGTTCCCTGATTGTGGATTGTTTAATTTGTTGTTTCTGAGACCTTTTGAGCCACTAGAATTTATTTTTCAAATTTCAATTCTAAGGTCAAGAATAAGCATTCATGGAATTTTGAATCACAACAGACTTGTCAAGACTTTGAGCTAATTATACATAAATGATAATTTCAGTCACAATAGTAAAATTCTGACAATGCTTACAGTAGGACGGTACAATATGAGCAAAACAGTGAACTGAGAAACAAAATCAAAATCCTTTAGTTGACCTTTGATAATATATGTACATTTTAAAGGACAGTAATGATAAAGATCTGAGTGATGGATAATAAAGTACAGTGTACATGTAATGTTTTGTTGCAATCTGTAGCTCATTTGATGAAGAAGAGACTTTAGACTTGCCGTCATTCCTAGAGGTCATGGGAAGACAGAACCAATCCCAAACAGGGCAGCAAGCTGTTGGTAAGTTAGCTCTATCAACTTCTCATTGCGTTGTTTAAGAAAATTCTTTAAGAACAGTTTTTGCATCAGATTTCATTTTTCTGGGCTTTATATGATTTGCCTGCTAGTAATACTTGGAAGGAGATTCGATGCAGTTACCAATCACGCTTGATATACAGTAAAAACCTGTGACTAAGAACCTGGTTTTTAAGAACCTTTAGGCCTTTGGCAGCACAGGAGAATTTCAACTTTTTTAAACGTTCCAAAATAGTGGAAATTGGTTAGAACTGTTATATAAACAGGGGCGGATTTAAGGGTGAGCCGAGGGGGCCGCGGCCACCCCTTTTTCTTTGAAATTTTGTACCATTTTTACAGAATTCTCAGAAAAAATAAAAAAGTATCTGTATAGCTGATAAAAAAGACAAGACCGCAGATTCCATTGAAGAAGCAATCTGTTTTTCGGCATGTATACTTTAAAATTGCTCAGAGTTGCAGATACCAATACCCTTTTTCCATTCACCATTGACGATGTGAACCTTTTTATCTTTTCAGGGTTGCTTCCAAAACGAATACCGTCGATCAGGTAGGGAGATCTAATTACATCGTGTTAATAGTTTCGGTTGTGAAGTGAAACAAGCCTGCAGTGTATTCTAGTGTAATCTTATCGTATTTAGCAAAGTCAGTCAGGAATGTGTTTAGTGCTGTGTGTGCGAAGTAGGTCAGCAAAGAATAGTAAAATCAGGTTATAATTAATAATTTAGAATCTGACAGAAAGACTGACTGGATGACTGATTGATTGATTGATTGAATAATCAATTGATTGAGTCAGTTTTAGCCCCCCCCCCCCTCCATTTATCTGATTGTCTGACTGACAGCAAACAATCGTTTTCCGGTATGTTGTTCAGCTTTCTTACCCACTGATTGGCATAGGTCCTTAGAGTTTGACTAAAGGCTCCTTGAAACTCGCGTTTATAAAAGAAAATTAGTGCTATTCCTTCGCTCAGTGTCACCCTTATAAGAACGGGAAATTGAAAGAAACCTGAGATGGAAATGAAAAATAAATAAAATAAGGCGAGCTAAAAGGATAGCAAACGAAACGTCGAGGAAAAATACCGCTTGAGAGAGGAGCAGATTTTTTGTAGCTTTATTGAGTTTAACACCAACAAAAACCAGTGTAGTGTGCTTCCATTCGCTAAATTAATCAAACTTTACTGTGTCTTTGATTGTGTTTACGTGCTGACATTTCAAGGACTTACCAAATGTAATTTTTTTGCTTTTCAATGGTTAATTCTTGCAGTAAAATCGAAAAGGATGACAAGTCGGCCGGAGAGGAGAGTGACATCAGTGACGATGACACAGGTAAGCGGAGATTTCCGATTGGCTCAGCCGGAAAGTATTGAAACGGTCTGACCAATCAGGTTCTACTAGCATGTTGTGGATTCAGCCAATTAGGAATCAGGATCCTTGCAACATACCACATTGATGTAACCTTTTACGAAAGCCAGGCTGTCAATTATAAACTCGTTTAGCTGGTAGTTTGTTTGATTCGCGATGAACAAGGATTAAGGATGAATCTGCTCTGCGATGAAATGGCATGCTACACAAAACATTTAAACGTTGACTCTTTTGCCAGGTTCAGAACGCTTTTATCACAACAAGAACCAGATCTTCTTCAACAAAAGCTGTTGCTATGGTCCCCTTTTGGACCCGGACAAGGTGTCACAGTTGCCTGAGGCTACCCCTCCTGGGAAGGTCAGTAGTGTTATACGCACAGGACTGGAGATGGTCGCAAAGGCGGCTTTCGATCCTGAAAAGGTGATAGACCTAATGCAGGAAGGATGCGGAGTACGAGTCGTGGTTAAACACAAGGGCAAGATTCTAAAGAAGGTAAGAGAACCCACAGCTTTCGTGGTAGTCGTTGGATAGGGAACGGGGAAGACGGAAAATCGTGTGAGAGAGAACACGAAGAGATTCATCACGGGCAAACGTGAGAAATTTGCAAAAGTTATGCCTAGTTCTTTAAGAAGTTGTTACTTTCAGTCAGTTTCAAAGTTTCGATGCAGTCAAAAGCCGTTAATACGGACACTTCATTATTACGGACAGTTTGCTTTTTTCCTGGTGAAAGAAAGCCCTTACATTTTCTCTACATTCAGCCCGCTTAATGTGGACAGCCCGTTTTAGGGACACTTTCTTTGGCCTCTTAGTGTCCGTAACAGGGGAGTTTGACTGTATTTAACCTAAAACGAGGGGTGTTGCCGACCGGGATGGACAGGCTGACATAAAGACAGATACGGCTAACATGTGAAATTTGGATTAATTTACGCTCAAGCACATGGGTAGGTAGAATGAGTTATCAGATAAGAAGACAGAGGGACAGATTGATGGGCACACAAATGTTTGGGTAGACAGACAAAATGATCCTGAATTAAGTATACAGATACTCCAGTGGGGGGGGGGGGGGGGGGGCGGCGGGACTTAACCAAGAAGGGGGTGGGGGTCACTAACCAAGTAGATTGTAGAAAAACTTCTGTGGTTTTGTTGATAATATCTCAGGAATCCGTGTGTGCGTACTGCTCCGCTCGTGGAGCACGACAAATATAGTTTGATTGTAGTAAAGGACAAGGGAGAGGAGAAGTAGAAATATAAAAAGAAAAGAGGAGAAGAGGGGGTGTAGGAGAGGAAAAAATATGGGGAGAGAAAAAAACAAAAATTGTATTAGAGAGCAGAAGGGGGGGGGGGGGGGGGGGGGGGGGGGGGGGGGCGCTAGCATTTACACGACGAATGGTTCGGGCCATTTCCACTAGAAAGCTTCAGAATAACCTTTTTGGATTCTTCAGCTAATTTGGCTGCACTCTGTAGTGGGTCTTTCTCCCGCTCCGGGAGCAAGATCAAAGGTAATCGTTGGCTGGTCATACACGATAGTTTAACCGTATGGTTTGTGTAAATGATAAGCACCGCAGGATAGCCAAGATGGTAAAAAAGACAGAGATGGTGGGTTGAACAGATAGACAGACAACAAGGCCATCAGGCAGAGTAATTCACTCTGTTAAGAAGTAAGGAGAAGCACTCGACTGCTTCTTGTTTTTCCCCCTACACTTCTTTCGTGCTCTGGCCACTTCTTTTGTGCTTTACAACAAGACAGAGAAGAGTCAAGGCTTCTTTATTTGTTTTAAGATAAAGAATCCGTTAAATTCCCGACGCATTCCTTTCTAATTTTCAAAACAAACTTTAGCTCCGTTTTTTATACTCTCACAAAGAACGCTTTTTCAACCAATCAGAGTGCTCGTTATATCTGAACTTAATTAAGAAGACATCGGTGGCTAATCTAGATCTTTAAGTAAGTTGGGTCCTCGCTCATGTGGTCCCTAAAATACGAGGAGAGAGGCCGGCCTCGACACCATTTTTCTTGGCCCTGCGGGCCTCGGTTTGCTCTAAAAAAGAGGTGGAGGCGCGGGCGCGGGCCTACCCTACCCGAGATCGGCCATTAGAAATCCTCTCATTTGAATGCTTTTATCAACAGGCGATCTCGCGGGTGGACTCGCGGCCAAAGCTAGAGCGTTACTTAAAGAGGTTTTGCCGTCGTCTCATCTGTTGTGAGTATTTCTTGAGTCTGAAGCCTGTTCCGACGCCATGCCCTGATCAGTGCCAGGCAGATGGTAAGTAAGGGAATGGGTTCATCATTTCATTACCTCAGTCGACCCTTGTACCATTCATGAAAGTGCTGCTATGTCTGCCTGTAGAGTGTGTGGTTGTAATCCGGCATATTTGGTCTTTATTTTAATGGTAAGAGCGTTTTTTTTCCATCGGGAAGTTCTACTTTGCGAGACATTTTTTAACCAATGGTGCAACTCGCCTAACACGTTGTGGTGGGGTTTTGTTGACGTTGGATTCAAGAAGGAAGTTTTAGGCCCGCAGTGAAGATAAAATAAATAAAACAAAAAGAAGCCATTCAAACTCTGTTTTCACGGAATATCTGTCGACATCTGAATGTGAGTACATTGAGTTAACGGGTTACCGTACAACAACGATAAAGCCAAAAAAATTCCGGGCCAAACGCGGAATCAAAATAAAAAGGAATTGTTTCAGTATTTTGACACTCTATAGCACTTTCAGCTGTGATTTAAGAACGAAGTCGTATTCCAGTAGTGAGAAGTAAAAGAAAAGAAAGAAAGAAACCTTTAAAGCTAATCGTTCACGGAATATGTGTCCAAATCTGAACCTGATTACAGTTAGTCCGCAAACGCTATTCCAATCGCAATATTTCAATAGTATATCGTTAAGGCACTTTGCCGGATACCCATAATTTGACGACTGTAAATCTACTCAAAAAAGACTACAAGACACATACCGCTCTATACTGTTCACGTCTGCCTTGTAAACAGTGTGTTACACATTTCTTTTGTGGGTAGATTTTCCGTTCCCTTGCTTCAAATTTTTTATGTATGTAGCTCTTATTGGCAGACCCTTCGCCTTCGATCCGATGTGAAGTGAACTGTTTTAAAAACTTTATGATTTTAAAAATCAAATTGATTTTTGTTTCGATTTTGCCGTTTTCAGCATTCTTTTTGTAAAAAAAATTGTCATATTCCTTTCACAAAAAAGAGCATTCAAATTCGTATTTTGTAGTTAAACTATGATAACAGCTGACGACAGTGAAAACGATTCCTTTTTATGGGCGTTTTACATGTTGGTACATTACATTCTTTGTCTTTCGCTACCAAAAACCTACGTTAAGTGATAGAATGAAACGTTTAAAGGACAGCTTAAATATGCTCTGGTTAATTTTCCTCTCTCTATTTTAACTTGCAAGCATTCCAACAAATTCTTTTTACTGGCAATTTAGTCTGATAAAAAAAATGGCAGAGAAAGGACAAACGAATTAATTCTCGACTTTTATGTTTTCCTTGACGTCGCCTTTATCGGGCTGTGTAAGTTTTCTGATGCACTTGAAAAAAATCTCCCACTATTTGAGTAAGTTATCTTGAAGGAGAATGTAAATCTAAGTTTTAAGTCTATGACTGAAGCCCATAAATTTGACCAGTAAGAAGTCCTTTTTTCACATTTTACTGTATAAGACTAAAGAGTGTCAGAGAATAAGAGCGCTTTCGTATTACTAATTTTTTTTATTTACGTTGGAAACCAATTGTGAAGATTAGGCTTAAGTTTAATTAAAAAGTATAAACGAATTAGAATAACAAAAAGGAAAACTGCTGTTTCCGGGTACCCGTTAAACTCATGAAGGAAAGTTGTGGTTAATAATTTATAACGCCCTTGTGGTAATCAGATCGTCAACTTTGAATTTAGCTAGATCTTTGGCGTTTCATTTGAGAGTTAGATTAGATTACTATCGGAATGTTGATGTAAATTGAGATGGAGAGCGCCTAATTATCCCCCGTGTCTTGACGGCCATGCAACAATGTGCTTTGAGTACGAAGAACTGAGAATCGTTTTGTCTGCGCCTTATCTTTAACAATATCGTAACTGTAGTTTCAACTTCGTTGGTGACCGAAAGGATTGATTTATTTTGTGTTTCAGATCAAGGAAACTTACAAGGTCCCAAAGGGTTAAAAGCTAAGAGATCTCGCGAATACTTTGAAGTCAAGCATCTCGGAGTTGAGAAAAAGAAACGTGGCCGGAAGCGAAAGTCAGACTACTTACTTCCGGTCGATCCAAACAGTGTTGTTACGAGGGCTCTCGGAGACAGCGGATTACCCATTGGGGCGCCTTTTAGTGTGGTTCAGGGACAGACCACCTTTTCTACGGCAACCGCCATTGCTCCTGTTCAGAATGGTTCCATTGTCACTCAAACCCCAGGGATTCCCCAAGTGACTCCGCAGGGAGCCACCCCTGGGGTTTCAATTACGAGTGTTAGTGCAGGAGCTCCGGCATTCCAGACGTCTGGCAATGTGACAGTGCCTCGTTCAGCTACCGCAGTAAAAGGCATCCCGGTGATTGCTCCTCAGGGAAAAGTTCCCATGGCCCATCCCCAGCGTTCCCCGGTGCCGATTAACGCTTTACCAGGAGGAAAACCAGTCACCAAGGAGGTAGAGTATCTGGGTCAATTTAGGTTTCTGGGAAACTGCCCACCTACCCCTCCCCTAAGTCAACGTTAACACTTACTGCTCACTTAGGGCAAAATGTTGGGTTACAGGAGGGGTAGGTGGGCCGTTTCCCAGAAAATGTCTCTGATATCTTTTGTAAACAATAGATGTTTCACCAATTTCTACCTACAAATAATAGGAGACATTTGACTGACAGAAAAATTTTGAAACCTAATTAATCCGAGTATCTATCACAATTAAATTAGTAGAACTCTACTTGTATTCTGTTGCGGTTCTCTCACTGTTATTTTTTTATTATTGGCTCAAGTAAGAAGAGGAATCCAGGTTTTATGCCAATAAAAACTTCGTAAAAAAAAGTTCGTGAGCATACTTTTAGAGCTGTTAGTGCACTCTAGGATCAGAGGAGCAAAACAGCAAATACTCGCAGCTAAAATGTTGCAAGATCTATCAACAATACAATCGGCACGTTAGGGTGAGAGACTTAATTTCACGATGTCAATTTTTTTTATTTTTAGGGAGTGCAGTCACATAACCCAGGAAGCGCGCCAAACGTTCCTTTGACGGACGGCTCTAGTCGCATTGTGACCAATGTGTCTAGCCAAAGGTTTGCTACAAACGCTACCAGCTTAGGTACCACAATCACATTCGGCCGGGCTCCTCCTAACGTCACCATATCAAATTGTGTCCCACCTCCGTTGACCAAGATAGCCACCGAGGGCAGCAGCAGTCATGTGACCACCACCACTAACGTGACGGTGGAACCGCATAGTCAGCTTGCGATTCATGCTGTGTCCGCAGTGCAAACGGCCAGCAGTGTTTCAGTGCCGGCGCCTTTCTCCTCCGCTTCTTTACACGTTCCTCCAGTTTCAAGGCCTTCGTTTAGTACCGCCACCGCAGGGCAGTTGCCAGTTGGGACTGGATACAAGCCTGCGACGAGCCCCCCGGTTTTTCCCCGACAGGTGTTGAGTACGAACCCTGGCGGTGTGATCCGCCATCCTGGAGTCCATCCGAATCCCCCAGGGAATGCCTCTCCAATACAAGTAAAGCCAAGCAGTGGAACCACTCCTCCTCCTCCCCCGCTAGTTCCCAATGCTCGCGTAACCCCTCAGGGAGTTCGGCCGCAGGGAATGTACGTACCTGCTCAAAGCAGCAGCAGTAGCTCCATTTCACAGCCGCGTCCAGTATTACATTCCCATCAATCTCCTTACAGTCCCATAGCTGCCAGGAGTGGAGCAGTTAATCATCACCCTCAAGGGACTGCCCCTCCCCTTCTAAGTAACTCCTCTGGGGTCACTAGTGCAACCCCTCAAGCTGGCATGGTCGCAAGGGGAGTAGCGCAGCCTGGAGCCCCTCCCGTTTCACAAAGGCCCATCATGCCGAATTATCATGGCGTTCCCCGTTCGAGGAACCCTCCTCAAAACGCCCCTCCGAACATGAGGTTCTCAAGTGTCAGGGCCCCCCTAGGGGGTGGATTTGCGAGGCACCCTCTACCCATGCGTCCTCAGGGGAATGCTGTAGGACCACAACAGCAGGTGAGATTGTCATTTTCGTAGAGACAAAAAAAACACTAGGTATGTTAATTCCATGAAGATGACGGAAATAAACGAATTTCAGTCAAACCCCGTTAATACCGACACTAAGGGGGCCATAGAAAGCTTCCGTATTAACAGGGTGTCCGTATTAAGCGGATTGAATTTAAGAATAATGTAAGGGCTTTCTTTCCCCACGTAAAAAGCCAACTGCCCGTAATAATAAGGTATCCGTATTAAGCGGGTGTACGTAAAGCGGGGTTTGACTGTAGTCGGTAGGGATTTAGCGTCCGAAGGATTTTGGAACCTTCTGCTTCTTTAGAGACCTGAGGGCTAAGTTGCTGGAATGCCGATTAGTGCGAACCCGGGACTATTAAAGTTTTAATTTGGTTTTCCTTTATATTCAAAAGCATTTTCTCAGTTGATTTTCTCTTTTCTGTTTAGAGCATCAAATCATGAAGTTGTAGATCCGCAAAAAGAATTAAAACAAATTAAAATCTAAACTTACTTTTAAGCTTTCATAGCTGAATTTAAATTTCGCACTTACCCTGGGTTATCTTGACCCAGCTTTGAACAACTCGGTCCTGGTTGAAGTTGTGATTATTGATATTATTTTCAGAGCTTCAAATTGCGCTTTAACGTGCCTACGGTGTCGGGAACAGTACACCAGCGGAATATGGGGTCTAATCCACCTGTAAGTTTCGTGGACGCGAAATTGGTGACGAAATCTCGTATCGGTCCAACACCGATACAGCCCAAGTCTTCTATAGAGCATCTGGAAGCTCTGACGAATGCCACCAACCAAGAAGTGAAGATAAACGACGAACCAAAGATAAAGGAAGAGGAAACGAAAGTGGACGAAGAAGAGGAAGAAAAGGGAGAAAATGAAGAGAAGTCTGCATCACCTCCGAAAAGGAATCTGTGGTGGTTGAAAAAGAAGCGGAGAAAGCGGCCACGACTGACCTATATTAAAACGAAGTATCGTCGCAAAGATGACGAAGGCGCTCCGAGTACTTCCGAAGTAACTCCGATGGACATGGATATGGAGGATGATCCTGAACTTGAAGTGGATGATGGTCCCTCTCAGTCGTCCTTAGGAGACAGGCCTAAAAGAGGACGACCTCCTAAGGGCGTTGCGTTCCGATTCAAGACTGAAAACTTCTCGAATAGTGATCCCGACTGGGACGAGTCAGAAGAAAGAAGGCGAGTTAAACCTGTGGTCAAGAAAAGAAAAGGAAGAGTCAAGAAAGGTATATGATTGAAATTTAATTGCTTGATAACAACCTGGATGATTTGCGAGCAGTGGAAAGTGGGCTAAGCAGCCTTCATAAGTATTTTCCAATAGACTGCCATATCGGGAGCATGTGAACACTTGCTTTTTCTATGTCATGGTGAGCTCCACTTTTCTGGTTAAACTGCTGAACTGATTTAATAACTAGTAATTCTCACTTGGAACCCTAAAAGAAAGATATCAAATGATTCTAACGAAGGGAAACAAAGTATTGTCGGTTTTGGACATTTTTCGATAACGCAGGAGTTTAACCTGAAAAAGTTGGCCCGAATTTTCAAGTTGCAATCCGTTGCAAATTCGAAAACAATTCTCCATGGTATGTACTCATATGTTCAAAACTTTGCAGTGAAATCACTGTCCTGCAGATCGTGGTTCCGCTTGAGTTTTGAGCATTCTGACATTTTGACGTCATTTCTATGGTCGACAAGAGTGGTGGACGCGTGACTGACCGGACGCTTCAGTTAGCGCTCCGCGTTCTCGCGTATGTGTGTTTGTGGGTAGGTTAGTTTAGATCTTTTCTTTTTTTTCATTGACTAATTAGAGACAAAGTTAAGGCGATATGAAAAGAAAACGATGATGTAAAGAGACAACTGAATAATCTGAAGAAATGCATCATTAGTCTCTTGTCATAACTGTGTTGTCATTTATTATTAGTATTCCGTTAGTTTATCAGTAGTCTATAGTCATTGATGTCAATTTTAGTTTCTTCAGTTCTCTTGTTACTTTTAGTTTTATTTAGTTGTATTTATTTCCTGTGAACATAACCCCCCTAGATTAGCTTAGCATGTATGTATGCATGCATCTATGTACGGAAAATGGTTGTCGAATTGTTAAGTCGGCATTGATTGCTTGTTAATGCTCGATTCCTTCTTCCCTAGATTCTACTGAAGTGACGTCACCGAAACTGAAGTCTCCAGGCTTGGCTGGACCATCACAAATCCCAGGCCTCTCTGGTGCCGTGGTGAAGGAGGCTGGAACCAGTCCCCCATCACATTTGGCTCGTTCACCCCCATTTTCACCTCGGAGTTTTCAACGTGCACATACTTATCACGGAACAGGCATCCCTGGCGATAAACGTGTTATTTCTCCTAAGGGCTCTGTGTCTAAAATGGTGCGCATGAGTTCTGGATCAGATCCCAGAGGTATAGTTCTCTTTTAGCATTTAGCTTTTTGAATTATACGCTGTTATTAAATGCCCGTCGAATACCAACCCATTTTATCATGTTTTAGTATTACGTTAATTTGCGCAATATCAAGTAATAAATATTATTAACAGTCGAACTGATCTTTATTGCTGCTATTCGCCACTTAAGAAAGAATCCTTAAATGAGAATGTCCGAGACCAGGTTTTATGAGCCCGCGAGACCACCACCGCCAAAACCTTTGTTTTCACTAAAACCGCTGGACGCCACAACCTGCTTGAGGTCATTGTTATCTAAGGTCTTCCCTTAAGAAACGAGAGGGAAACTGGACCGGGTTAACGTTCGCAAAGACTTCTGGGACTGTCACGGGGGACAGGGAAAAAAACAAATTGGCCAATAGCTGACCGGCGCCTTCCCCAGTAACCATCCCAGAAACAATTCGGGTGTTCCAGTCTCTTTCTCGTTTCTAAACTGGAGAATTTTTGTACATATCGAGAGAGAAAGCATTGCAAAAGAACCGAATTGACTGTACAAAGTTTAAAAAAGCTGGTTCGGTTTGGTAGCAGAAGCAAGTTTGAGTTCCTTACCTGCATTGTTTTCGGAAGTATCGGCCATCGTCGAATTGGTCGATTAACTGTTGCCTAGTCCCTGTACGGCTTCTTCCCAGGCCTTCTCGGTCAGTGGTCAAAAACTTGCTCGGACCGCGTGACCCGAAACTCATCGGCGGCGCGCAATAATGAGGCATAGGGAGTAGGTAAGATTAACCACAGAATTGCCCCCTGGGTGGCAAAGCGCTTATGACCAAAACATTTTAATTTTGCTGATCAAAAGCATGGTCACCTACATGGGAGTAAACTTAACTAAATTCAAACAATCTGTTTCTTTGTAGGTCATCACTCTCTCTCTGCATCACGATACTCGCCTTACTCCTCCTCCCCTTCGCCACGCGCACCCTACTCTCCCTCGGGTCATCGGTCCATGCACCCAAAGCCACTCTGCGTTGATGTCGGCACCAACACGTCACTTCCGGGCTGCGTGAACGGCAGGTCACCTGACCTTCCCGCCAACCCCGTTACGTGGTCAGTGGAACAGGTGGTGAGATACGTGCGCTCAACAGACTGTATAAATTATGCGAATATATTTTTAGATCAGGTAATTATTTATGAAGATTCATGTTTTTATGTTGATTTATACCCTAAAGGACCGTAAATCACTTAAGCATTCACTGCAGTACTGTATGCAGTACGCTGAAATAAAAACTAAATGAAGTTACCCAGGAGGCTCCTCACCTACTTTTTTGAAGAGATTTGTCCATACAAATAATTCAAATTGAAGCAGACCAGCTTGCTACTGACTTGCGTGAATAATTCGAAGAGTTTAACTTGGGACACCGAAGAACTACTTCTTCAGAGATATATTAGGTTGAAAGGAGTGCGCATGTGGAGTAGGTGTGAAGCGGGGATCCATCTTTTATTGGAGGAGTCTGGGGGCCTCCCCAAGAAAAATTTAATTTTTATTCTGGCGTCCTTCCTGCAAAGTGCATTTTGATCGACCAAGGACAAGAGTTTTAGCCATGAAATTGGCAACTTTATTTAGTCATGTTTGCTTTGTTTTCATCGAACGATGTGGTGAGAAAAAATACGAAAAATTTATTACTCTCTTTAAAGTTTTCTATAATAAGCCGGCGATTTTCGTTTGTCCCTTTCCGAGACCCCTTTTAGCTCTTTGACACTCCTTTAGCTCACTGATATGGCACTTGTTCTTTCACAGGAAATTGACGGAAAAGCACTTATGCTTTTGTCACGTGACTCTCTTATGCAGTTTACGCGCATGAAGCTGGGACCGACTCTTAAGATGTGCAGTTACATAGCTCAACTGAAACTTCGAGCCCGATGACACGCACGCAATAAATTTCGTGTGAAATATGACTAAAATGGACAGTGGAGTGTAGTGTCTTCAGGACGGATATTTTAGACACAGAGGACTTTGTGGATAGAAGAGGGAGTGATCATACCTAAAGCCTAAGAGGCGCAGTGTGATTATTCAAATTCATTTCCCTCTATGGCAAATCTAAATGCAGGAAAAATCCCAACACGCACATCATAAAATATGAGTGTGAAACAAGTATTACCATGTGACCGTACTGCTTAAGGGATTCTTTTTTATTAAGTGGTCACACCAAATGATTTGCTTCACAAACTGAACTGACGGATTTAATAGAACGACACTTGACCAGTGAACATCTTCGCCTCCTTTGGAAACATTGTGGGATCATAGAGAGGTACTGTAAAAGCAAGGTCCTTTATGTTTGAAGACGTAAGGGGCTTCAGTAGAGTAGATACTACAAACCGAACGATGGACGAGTAAATTGAAAAGAAAAAACATGTCCTGTTTTGTTTTAGCAGAAGTTCACTCTAAAAACTACGTTCTTTCTTCTTGATGGCATAGTTCCTTCCCCTCCGTGAGCATAAAGAGCCATAAAAGCAGCAAGAAAACTCTTTATGGCGCCCGTTTAAAAATTATAATGCCCGTCATTCGTAAGAATAATTCCTCGATTGCTCTACCATCACCTTGCATGAATAAACTGACAGGGGAGCCCCGAAAGTGATTCCAAGATGGCCGCTCTGCAGGTTACGCCGAAAAGCTTGTTCAATTTTCAGAAGAACTGTGAATGAAGACAATTGGCGGTCAAGATAACAAAATAAGAATCAAATAGGAATAAATATACAAATAAACATAGAAGAATCCCGACGTTCAAAGGAAAAAAGGGCACCATGACGAAGACCAGTAGGTTTCCTTTGGGTTGCCATTTGTCATTACGTTTCCTTTCCATAACTCTGTTATATTCTGTTTTATCCGAAATTGACATGCAACGTTACTGTTTATGTTAACTACACTGAAGAGTGATAATTTTTGTTTAGTTTACAGCTTTTTTGAGACAGGTTGTTGGAAAAAGTGCACGCGACAATCCCGAATGGTATTGTGGGTGGTTTGTGGTTCACTGTTCTTCAAAGAAATTTGAATGAATGGCACGAGGGGCCATGGAAATGTGTTTGCGAGTGCTAAAGGAGAGCAACAAAAGTAGGTTCGACGGCTGCAATGTGAGGAACAGTATATTGATCATATCCCATATTATCTTTCGGGATTGTCGCGTGCAAATTTTTCCGACAAGCTTTCTCGAAATAGCTGTATTCTTTAATTGGTCTTTCTCGGACAAATCTTGTCGGACAATATACAATGAAGGAAGTTAATACAATTATAGGAATTATTATCAAGGCGTGCTGTGCGCCAATCATACTTGTAAGTGTATTCATTCATACGTTAGATAACATTTTGATACTTCCGAAATATTAGAGAGTATAAATTGTATTTTAAATAAAAGTAATTTTTGTGACTTTGTAAATGAGTGTTCTCGAAAACGATCAAAGAAACGAATGAGATACAAAAAGTCGGAAGAAGAGCCCGGGGAAAGGGTGGGCCTTTTCTCCATTTTTCCTGAAACCCTACCTTATTTCAGATCAAAATACCCCTATGCATCTGTCTCTAAGCCACCCTATTTCAGTCTTGAACAGCTATTCTCAGGAGAGGAGACAAATGATGAAAAAAACAAGAGCAAATCCTACTCTCTCAGACAGCACAAAGCCCTACCTTGTTTCACAAAAGGGAAAAATCTATAACCAATTTCTTACGTTTTGCCTGTCAAAAGTAGGTAGAAAATATAGCTTGTATAAATTAAGGAGTACCCCCCCTCCCCCGCCCCCAGGCCCTTTAAGGTCTATGAGCCCGCGATAACACAAGGTGCAACATTCGTTTAATTAAAACGTTTCCCCTCTCGTTCGACAAATGTGCAATACCCCGGGTGCCAAAGGTCTTTTTTTTCCTACTTCCTGATGGAAATAAGACAATGAGGGGCGACGCGCCGTGGAAAAAACTGAGGGCACGGTTTATCTCATGCTAGATATCAAGAAATTTTGGGAACTGACCTCTCCAGAGCTCTGGAGTCGGGGTAGGTTTGGTAGGAGTGGGCCCCCAAGGAAAAAACCTGCATAATTATTTAACTCCACAAAGTGGGAGATTTGGCGACATAAAAATTGATTAGACTCACGAAGCAGTCTAAGCATGTTAGCAAATCAGCTGAAGAAACTAAAAAGACCGAATTATGGCGCGAACTATTTACAGTATTGAGCCGACCGTACAAAGAGGGTATGTCCAGCAGTTTCAAAGATTCAAATCATCATATATGAGGTACTTACCACAAAAGAAAGATGGCGGACGGTGAGTTAGCATATGATCGCTTTCTCTTCCAATAGAAACTCATATGGCCTCTAAAACTTGCTATTATGTTTCCTAGCCTCACAGAATTACGAAATTGCGTCCAGTTTCGTTGGCTTCACGAATAGTTCCTATTTGAAGTGCTGCATTAAGGTTTCTTTGATTTTTCTTGCTAATTTCAGGTCAGCCGGAACAATCTTTAGAGGAAGTGTTAAGATCTATCAAACACGTGATACTGGTTCTATCTGGCAAAGGGGGAGTTGGTAAAAGCACTGTGACTACCCAGATTGCATGGACTCTTTACCATCATGGGAGAAAGGTTTTTGTTTTTGTTATTGTTGTTGGAAAAGTAGTAACATGAACAAGGATAACCAAGCTTGTCTGCAAGCCATGTCTCAAATAATTTGCCTGATATTACTGATAAGATGAGTAAAAACTTGCAAGAAGAGCAGTTCAGGTGGAAAAGAGAACAAGAAAATACTGTGGAACCCTCCAAGTTAAATTTTTCCTTTGGTGGCCATTTGGCGACCAATTCTTTAGGTTTAGTCGCCAAAGGATTTTTCTAGCCGCCAAAATATACATCAATGAATTAAGTTTTAATAATTGGTTAATAATTAATTTGGATTTAAGAATGGTGTTGTTCAGCCAAAACAATCTTTGTAAATGCCATTTACCGTATTCACAAGTGTATACGGTAACTTATAATCCATGTCGAGTAACATCCATGTTGTTTCCTCAAGTATCAGTTTTCTCTGGTCGCCAACTTGGCAAGTATTTACTGAATCAAGTCACCAGTAGCAAAATTTTAGTCGCCATGGTGCCTAAAGTGGTTGGAGCTTGGAGGGTTGCTGTGCTGGGTCCTTTGACCTGGCTATCTGTGACCTCTTATTCCCTAGTACCCAGGTGGGATACTCCTTAGAACACCCACTCACAAGTTTGTCTGACTGGTTGGGTCCGGTTTTTGATGGCTTCAGGTCTAGAATGGAGTTTTCATATCTGAGATGTTTCCTATAACAGGGTATGATAAAGTTCTAGAACAGGTTACTTAAAATAAGTTAGCATGTTTCTTCAAATAAGAAGTTATTTTGAACCTAAAACCTCTCACATAAGGGATCCATTTTTTGTAGGGCTTAGTGGTATATATCCACTCTGTAAATAGTTACCAGAGTTCCCTTTCTCCGGTTGATCCCTATCTGTCTGATACTTAATCTGACCATTTTGATGGCCCACCCATCGGCAGTACAAATTACCCAGTCGACACAAAGAGTTCAAAAAATTCTCCCATTCAGTCATCTTGGATAGGTAGAGATATTCTTGCTGGCAAGTAACTTTGTTAGCTTGCTTACCTAATGGGCAAGGGCTTATGCAAGTCGTCTTGTAAATACATGTAAATCATTTACTAGGACAAGCAAGCAGTGATCCCAGGCGAGCAAGATGTGATAGCTGCTTGCCCAAAGAACATGGTCAAAATATACCAATTTTGTTAAATTCCTGGTTCAATTCATAAAGCCTTTTTTGCTTTAATTATCTTTCAGGTTGGTATTTTGGATGTTGATTTATGTGGACCAAGCATTCCAAGAATGATGAATGTAGAGGAGAAAGATGTACACCAGTGTTCTGCTGGGTGAGCAATAAATAACTTACCAGCAATTTTGTAGTGAAAAAAATGAAATACAAACCTAGCCTTGGTGAACGAAAACTAGAAAAATTGATGGTGGATCTTGGAATCATTTCATCCAGTCTTGCAATCTCTAAGGAGCATTAAATTGTGATGAGTTAGGCAAGTTTGTTTCATGTTTGTGTTAACTGTTCTAAGTTGTAAGATTTTCAAACAATTATTTGGCCAGTTTTTTTAATTAAACCATTTGCTACCTGTAAAATTAATAATAATGTGCTAATCACCAGCCTGAGCTTAATATTCATCACCTAGCCTGTACCAGGCTCTTGGTCAGTGCAGAGAACCAAAAAAGCAGGCAAGCAGCGAAATAGCAAGGCAGTGAAAAATTGTCTCCTTGCAAATGTGAGCTGATAAAATTGTAAGTAGAAAATGCTGAAGATGTAATTGACCATATTTTCTTTAATTCGGTTGCATCATAAATGTCATTTGCCCTTAATTTCTTCTAAATTCATTTCAGATGGGTTCCAGTTTATACAGACAAGGATCAACGACTGGCTGTCATGTCAATAGGATTTTTATTAAATAGCAGAGATGATTGTGTAGTGTGGAGGGGGCCAAAGAAAAATGGTATAAATTTGTGTTCTTATTAACTTTCTTTGACCCATATTTCAACCTGTTTTTACTCTATGTGCAAGCTTAAAATGGAAAATTCTCTTTGTTTTTAAAACTCCGCAAATGTTTTTTTATAGCATCGTTATTATAACTTCTATTTTGGGCTTTCGGTTCTCATCTTTTTTGCATTTCTTATTAATTTTTCTGGGCTTTTACTTGGCTTAATTCATGTAGGAAGCACCAGAGGGTAGCAAGTTAGATCAATTTTCTCTTTTACCAGTTAAAGCAACATGATTTTCTTCATGCACTGTCGACCCTGGCCTGCTTACAGGAATCACTCCCATTTGGGCATGGTTCAAAAGATCTTTTTATCCTTCATGAATCATACAGACTGTCCATGTAGAAGTGTAATAAATGTTAAAAATAAACCAGCGATAATAATGATCATGAGGGTCCAATTAGTTAATTATTTTTATTATCCTTTTACTGTTTAGCAATGATCAAGCAGTTTTTATCAGATGTGTGTTGGGGTGAGCTGGATTACTTAATTATTGATACACCTCCAGGTAAGATTTTTTTAACAATAATTAACTTACAGTGTAAAGGAAAATATGTGTTGCAAATCAAATAATAACTACCTACATGTGACAACTGCCAAAATTAATGTAGCTTTAGTCACATGAATGAAAGAACTGAGACCAAACTTCTTGCAGCGTACATGTATTTTATTTTTTCTTGTTACATGTAATTGTTACTATGCCAATTTAATTGTTTATACTACTAGATGAGAAATTTCTGCAATTTGATTGGTTTAGAGCAGTGGTATTTCAGCTTAATTTGAAATACCCACATGTGAAAATTACAGACCTTTTGCGGGTAGTAGTATAAACAAATAATAGCATGATTTGTACGTGATATTTGGCATAAATACCACTCGTGATATTTCAAAATTGTCTCAAATTTCACTCGCCTAACGGCTCATGAAATTACGTATAACAATTTTGAAATATCACTCGTGGTATTTGTGCCAAATATCATTACAAATCATGCTATTACCTATACATATAGCAGTGCTAGATACAGACCTTGAGATAAGGGGGGAGGGGTGGTCATCCCAACCCTTAGATAAAGGGGGGGGGGAGCTATCCCCCCCAAACATTTTTTCGGCCCTTCCAGCCTCACTTTGGTCTGAAAATAAGGGGGGGGCCTCGGGGCCCCTCCCCTGGATCTGCCACTGCATAGAGCCATGTTTGTTGCTGGACCTTTTTTAATGTTTTTAACTCCAGGCACATCTGATGAACACATAACAGTCGTGGAAAATCTTAGGAATTACAGCCCAGATGGAGCCATTCTTGTCACTACTCCTCAGGTATAAGCCAGCTCTTTCTGTAGTTTTTATTTCAGTCTAGTTAAATTAACCAACCTGTAACCATGAACAGATTGATAGTTTACAATCATTTGCAGCAAGCATTGATTAAACTGCACATCTGTGTAGCAACACAGTAGTACATAACAAATAAACACAATGCTAAAAAGATATTTTGACTTGACATGGTAACACAAGTACTGGTAATACAGTAGTGTCAGTCATGGCCCACAAATAAAGATAGAAACAAATTAAATATTAATATATATAAACAAGTAAGAATCTCAACTGGATGGAGGCAAGCCAGTTGGCTATTTACCAGCTCTGATCACACAGTTGAACCCAGGACTCTAAAGTACAAGTCCAGCTAGGGCTAGGATAGGGCTTGAACTGAGGGCCTTCAGATTACAAGTCGAGTACTCTCACTTTACGTAAGTTTATAATTTATGAAAGTTTGCATGTAACACTGATGTCTTGACCATTGTTGTATATTTAATTTTTCCTTTTCTCTTGTTGATGGCATTGTGAATTTTTATATTAATTTGTATTTTTTTGTGGCTGTAATTTGTGGTGTTTTTTATAAAGTAATTTGTTAACTTTTTGCCATGTTTTTGTTTTGTATTCACTATTTAAGAGTGAAAAATTAATAAAAGCTATTAAATTACAAAAAAAATCCATTACTCCAACTGCTTAGCTATGTTGCCTCGTTGTATAGTCATTTTTAAAAAAATCTTGCTTGGTTTATTGACTTTTCAAATTTGACACTGACGATGTCTTTTGTAAAATAGCATGTAAAATGGCAAAAACAATAATAACAAGCAAAGTTGCTGACTTTTCTGACATTTAGGCTATCTCTGTGGTCCTCATATTGTTCAGTTAAACTTTCAGCTTTTAACTTTAAAAGCAACATGTATGGCAGTTAATATTAAGGTCAATTTTTTTGTGCACAGTTGTTTCCAAGTTATAAAATTCCTTTTTTTCTTATTTGTTTGAGCCTAGATAGAGATACCTTAAAGATCCTTATCATTAAAAATATTGTCATTCTTGATCTCCAGGGTGTTGCCGTGTCTGACGTCAGAAGAGAACTTTCCTTCTGTAAGAAAACAAAAATTCCAGTCTTGGGCGTGGTTGAAAACATGAGTGGATTTGTCTGTCCTCATTGTAGTGTAAGTTGCCCAGGCAGACAATTAGTCGACAAAATCATAATTGAATTCAGTGTAGAGCATGGCAAGAGATGAAGTGCAGTACTGTACATAGATAATATAGTCCCACCTCCTGTAAGCAACCACTCAACATTTAAAGATTTAGTGGTTGCTTATGGGAGGTTGTTGCTTAACACAATAATCAAACAACATGCCTGGGATCTTTTCTGAGTAGGTCCCAACACAACTTCTTTTTGCACGAAAATTAATTGCCTGCACCTTCTTATAGTTTCATGTTTACTGAGAGCTGTTCCCAACTTCATATAATGTTCTGCGTATTGCAGTTAAAGATGAGCAAGCATAGAGATCAGAATATACGTCTATGGATGACCAAATGGTGCAAAATTTAAGATACAATATTGGCCTTATGTTCAAAAATTTCTTATCAATTACCTTAATAAGGACTTTTTGAGAGCGAACCCAATTCTGCTTCTTAAATTTTGTACCATTTGGCATTCCATATGCATCAAGCAGTTGCTTATATGCATTTAAAAACAATGGAATATTATGGAACCTTTTAATTTCCAGAGATACGGATAAATATAGCTGACTTTTTTTATTATTGCAGGAATGTACAAATGTGTTTTCTAAAGGAGGAGGAGAGGCTTTAGCAAAAACTTGTGATGTTCCATTCTTAGGTATAAACGGCACCTTCAAAATATTATAAGAGTGGAGCCTCTATTCTGGGGACACCTTTGGGATTAGGACAAGTGTCCCCTGAATGGAGATGTCCCTTTAATAAAGTTAACTAATGCAAAGATTATATGTAGTGGAGCCTTCATTCAGGGGCCACCCTCAGGACCAGGAGAAGTATCCCCTGAATGGAGATTCCCCCTCAACAGAGGCAACTGCAAAGTGCAACGATGCAAAGCGGAACCTCCATTCAGGGGACACTCTTAGGACTCAAAGAAGTGGCTACGAATATGGCCTAAGCTCAGGTCCCAAAGTCAGCACTGTATGTGGGTTGAGTTTGTTGTTGGTTCTTATCCTTGCTCTGAGATTTTTCTCCAGGTAATCTTGCTTTCCCTTGTCTTAAAAAACCCAACATTTCCAAATTTTTAATTCAGTCTGGAACACGCTAACCTTTTGAAATGAGTGTTTGAGGTATCCTTAGTATTTTGTGAGTTAAAAAAAAATACACTTACTTATGTTTTCCAGTGCAGATCCATACCGGTTTTACCGTTTTACGAAAATCAGACAGATTTTTCATAATAAATGTATTTTTACTAAAAAACTTTAAACTTTCCAAGTGGTAATCTGGAAAATGGTTTGAACAGTCAGAAAACATCCTGTCCAAATGAGTCAGAAACCTAGGAAAGGGGAATTTGGGGAGTTAAAATGCAAAAAATTTCCAGGGAGAGCATGCCCCAGGCAGACTTCCCTAGAAGTAGGAAATCAGTCACTATTTATTCTAGATCCGCACCTGGTTTTACATGGCAAACTGGCCTTCCTTTACGCTGTCTTAGTGACCCACTGATCACTGTTTTTCTGTTTTATCTTTATCTTTATATTTTAGGCTCCATTCCGCTGGATCCAAGTCTAGCACAGTCATTAGAGGAAGGAAAATCTTTTATGGACCTTTTTCCCAACTCACCAACCCTCACTGCACTAAGTGAAATCACAAACAAACTGTTAGAAATGGATAAGAGTGTGAATGCATAATGAATATCATTAGTGGTAAAAACACTCAAAGCTAATTCAGTTTAAAAAAGTAATGAGCAAAGCTCTAAAATCAAACGCCACAGCACATAAAAACCACCCAACAGCTTTTATTACCTTAACCCTCTGTTAGAACATGCTCTGTGGTTGGGGAACTTGGTAATTTAGCATTGGTGGATCCAGGGGAGGGACCTGGGGGGCCTGCCCCCCTCCCACTTATCTAAGGGTTTGGATGACCCCCCTCCCCCCCCCCCTTTTCTCAAAATCTGGATCTGGCACTGTTTAGTGGTTGATATCAAAATAATATTCTCAAACTCATTAATAATAATTTAATAATAATAATAAATTAATAATAATTTGGAAATCAGATGACTCATTTTGTTTGAGAAGTAATATCAAGCATTCAACGCAGTGTCTCATCAGCAGATGAAAGACCTTGAGGATTGTCAAAAATACTCCGCTGGCCATCCTATTTTCAACTCTCTTCTGAGTGTTTCATCTGGTGATGAAGCACTGCGTCTCATGCTTGATATATTATGTCCACTTCTGTTTCTCTCGCCACCATCCACAGACACCATAAATATCTTACTAACCTGGAGGGTGCAAGAGTTGTCAGAGGGCAAAACCAGATTGTAACTATCATATTTAATTAAGCCTTTTCCAATTAGGCATGTTGTCATAAAGGGGAGGGGAGATTTTTGAGGGGAAGGGGAAAAGAGAGAGAGAGAGAGAGGAAAGCCGTCTTCCTTTATTGCTTCGCTCTTCTCATTTTCCCCTAGTTAGACCTGTCCCGATTGTGGTCGTATAATGCTGGAACGTTGCTCTCTGGAATGCCAAAATGTTGCTAAAGAATTGCCAAACATCCAAAAAGTTGCCACCTAATTAAATTTCAAAAGTTGCTACCTAAATCATTGATATTTTTCAATGTTAATTCTAATTAAAAGCTTTATTTTCCGTTCTTCACAATAATTGTTAATATCGCTCATTAAGAATAGCTTGAAACTTGTCTTTGAAAGTTTTTGAAGAGTTGTTCGCAAATTTAATATGGGCGAAACCACAGGTTGCCCAATCTCAACATGGGAGCGCTTATTCTTTTTTTCTATAATTGATCGAAATGTGAATTAATTTTTTCCCTTTTAAGCTTACTTTTAGGCTGATAAGTACTCAAGAAATTCGCAAAACGTCAAGTTTACTATGAAATCGTTGACTTTTTCGTATTGATATGTGTTCTAAACCTATATTTTGCTCAAAAATTGCTCAGAAAGGCAAAAGTGGCTCAAGTTTGCTTGAACCGCAAAAAGTTGCGCCCAACGCCGAAAATTGCTCAAAAGTTGCCGAGCACAATCGGGACAGGTCTACCCCCAGAAAGGCCTGATACCCAGGCTAGTCTCTTCCTGGAAACATCCCTAGCTGCAAGGAGTGAGAGCCCAGCCTGCTATGGGTAAAGCCGTCTTCTCCTGTCGTAGGGCGTCACGCTCTGTTTATCGCGTGACGACATAATAGAGACAAAATGTTACGTCACGAACGCACGAAATGATACTGGGTTCTTGAATTTCATTCGTTTCGCGTGCATTTTCCTGACGAGAACACTTGACAAAGAAAACTCGAGGAGTACGTGATTATTGTTATAAACGGAGTCCTGGAAACAGTAAGTACTTTCGTTACAAGTACATTTAACATTTACTGTCGATGCAAACTGCGTTTAGGATATTTCAAAACAGTTACAACAAGCAGAACACCACAGCACACCGTTTTGGACGAGAGAAATTTGCCGGCTTCGTGAAACATTCTATACTTTAACCGATTTAATTTCTCATCCACTGATCATTATCGATGGTATTTCTCTTTTTACGGACTTGATGCAAAAATGCTCAAACAAAGGTTGAAGCGCGACAAACAACATCGCACAACGGTTGTCTACTTGCCGTTTCGAACAATGCTGTCTGTTACGGACCGCGCCCGAAAATTTACGAATATACTCCCTATCAAAACTGGTGGTGTATTTTACAATATATTATATCACGTTCAAAATATTCCCCAGCAAACTGCAGGAGAGATACCATTTGTTCCACGAGTTCCCATTTTTGTTATGCAACAGATCGTTTTATGTTTCCAATCCAATTTTATGGCTATTAGTGTATTTTGTCGAGACCGCAAACCACAAAATTCGTCGCGGCGTTAAGTTGCCCTCTGCTATGTGGAATTTGCCACCGTAACGAATCTAAGAACGTCATTCAAGAATAAAATCACTTCCCTTTAATCTGCAACAATCAATCGTTGTAACTTATGAAGCAAAGTCTCACCACGTGCTGTGGTGTTGCGTGACTTACGGAACCCCCGGATCCTTCCTCTGTTCACGCCCCTACTTCAGCCCCTGCTTACTAAATGCCTTGACCAGTAGTTTTAAAAGTATAAAACCTTTCTTATATTAAAGTCTTGGTAAAAGAAATTTGAAAACAGGTAAAAACAGGAGTGGTGAACCGCAATGCGACTTGATTTAAGTTGAACAACCTGACATCGGACGAAAACAGTGAATAGTCATTCAGTGATTCAGTCAACTTTAATCCTCTGTAACATCACGATCTGAGCCATCACAGTTGTCAGAGAGAAGTAGTAAATTTGCTGTATAAAAGCGTGAAAAAAACACCCGTTTTTTTAGAGACGTTATATAATCTTCTTGCTGCTCCTAAGTAAGCAACATTGATTGGTTCGATGTCAGGGGTGTGTGTGGCATTGAGTTTTGTATTTAAAAAAAAAGAACAATAAAGGATAGTGCTCTTTTTGTCTTATTATCAACAAAAGCTGTGTCATAGGGATGTGGGAATTTTGGCAGAAATGACACCCCATAGTTAAGTGGCTCGGTAATCTAAAATCCAACCATAAATGGAAAGGTATATGCAACTTGCCATTGTCAAAGATTGGAAAACAACAGTTTAATCCTAACTGAAAGCAGTTCTGACATGACACACCAACGAGCATCACGTTTTGTGTACAGCTCTGAAATTTGCATAGTGTAAAAACAGACTGGAGCCTGGTCAGGGGCACCCAAGGGCAATTTTCGGGAAAATATCTGTTCGGAAGACGATTTGAGATCTAGAATTTTCGGAGCATTTGTTGTAAATTTCTTGCTTGCCTGCCTCTCCTAGGATTTTCGAACATATACAAAATGGTATAATTACCCATTTTTAACGTATTTTGACCCTAAAAAAGGCCACCTAGAATTTTCGGGAGCCTTTTCCTGGCTGAAATTTTCGAGAAAGTAAGTTTTTATCCCTATAATTTTCGGATCACTAGACTTTCAGCTAGGAAATCCGAACAGATGAAAAAGTTTTAGGGGATAAAAATATGCCTATATTTACCGTTTGAATACTAAAATACGTTCAACAATGCTATGTTAAGTGGTTTTGAACTATATCCTCGTTGGGTGCCCCTGCCTGGTCTCCCGACTCTCAAATTTAGACTCTAGTCTGTTTGAGTTAAGGCTTAGTTGATAACAAATGAAGATTTTGACTCCCGAAGGATGTAAGTATTTTGTTGTAACATTGATTATTGTGGTTTTTGGCTAGTGATATGTTAGACGTAAAAAGAACCTGATAACTTCAAATTACAATTACTAGGACCCCATGGGTTCCTTCAATGACAGATAAAGAGAATTCATCTTACCCTGCGTATGAAAAAAGAACAAAAAACCTATCTATAATCGAGTGATCGTAATTTTGTTTTGTTTCACCTTTTTGTTTACCTAAGAAACAGGGACTGAAGTCCAGAGTCCAGCGTCCAGTCCAGATTTTAAGCTACGCTACGAGAGGCCAAAGTTCTTACTTTCCACGTGTCTTTTACGTGTGTGTTTCCCTGAATATAAACAAGAATCAATAAGAGCTGAGCCATTTTCGGGTCAGTGATTCTTTGATTGCTATTCCAGACAGAACCTTGAGAGAACCTTGCAAAAGGTTAGTAACATGTGTTGTTGTAACTTTTGAAATTTAGCTCTTTCGATGCAAATTGCGTTAAGATCTAGCGACCAAGTCACCGATCCTCATTAAATGGCTTTAATCGTGGTGTCGCTGAGAACAAATCCAACCGCAGAAGATTTATGAATTTCAATTTTGAAATATCGTCTGTATTTTACAGTAAAGGAGTTTATATTTTCTTACCATTTTAATATTTTCTGGCAAACTGTGCATGGACAAGATACATGTCAAGCTGCATGTTCAATTGTCCTTTTTCTCCTTATTATTCATTTACATTCTCATCAGCAACATGTAAATATTGTTGACCACCCTCCATAAACTGAATTGTTACATCTGTCAATCGAATAAACCACATGCAGCCCCTCTTTAGTCCAGTTAGTCCGTTGAGCGAAACGACGCTTTGTTTACTTTCTTATCAGTAACATGTAAATATTGTTAAACACCGTCCATAAACTGAATTATTACATCCGTTAAACGAATAAAACACATGCAGCCGCGCTTTATAGTCCAGTTAGTCCGTCGATCGAAACGCAGGTAATCGCGGAAAAGCATACCTCAGAAGTGTTGCTGATGCCGCTTTGATTTCAATGTAAGAATTAAGTTCGAGGCAAGCACGGCAGAAACCTGGCGGCTAAACTGGGCGAAAAAGTGCCCCGTTGAAGAAAAACAAGGCTGCCCGCAGTTCATTAGAGGAACTTTCTTATTAAAGAGTAGACGTAATCCCCCGGGCATAAGCATCGTTTTCTTCCCTGCGGCAGTGCTGGGCGGGGACGAAAAGAGGAGGTGCCCCACCTCACGTCGCGTCCAATCAACACGTCACTGCAGCATTTTTTTTTATTGCACGGTGAAGTAGTGCCATTTTCAGCATTTCAGTGAGCGATTTTTCGCTGTTAGGTAAGTCATCCCCTGGGTCTATTAATTAAATGTTTGTTACAGCACTAGCCATTAACAAGGACGTCAACGCAAACACCAGCTTGTGATTCTCATTTTATTGTTGTTGTTTCTCTCGTTTTAACTGTCTCGTTGGTAAAAAAAATTCTCATTGAATAGTGTGTTGTAATGTCAGCTGTTTTGAATATTGTCCTTACTAAATTTTCTTCAAATCCTTAATCATTCATCAGAAGATTGATTCATGTCGCTATAACACTTCTGGCTTGATGAGCAATGAAAGAAAAATGGCCATAAAATCGAGAAAACATAAAATTAAAACCTCTACACGTTTTTTTAGTCCTTGACAAACGAGCTGATCTGCTTGCCTTTTCCTATAAATTTCTCCATATGTGGTGTGATGTTTGGATTTCGAGTCGGTAACCCTGTGCTTGTGAAAAGCCCGGGGGTAGCCCGGGCGGGGTTGGCAAATGCACGAACCTCGGGTCGCACAAAATTTGCGAGTACCAGACCAAGGCGCCCAAATGCCCCGCACTTGCCGGGGTTGTGCGCAGCAACTTGCATTTCATGTTAACCGTGTATCCTGTATTTACGGCATTTACAAGAGCAAGTGTTTTTACTCATTTTACATTTTTAATAGCAGTATAGTGTTGATATTGTTGTAGACACTGGCCAGCCCGCAAGCGAACAGCGAAAAGCGTACTAGCGAGTGGCGAAACCGCGAGGGGTGGGAAAGATGTCGCGTGACCTTTCGCGATATCCCCCAAGTGGAGAACTTGCTTGTAGGTTATTAAAGTAAACACTATTTATTCCTACGTGACCTAAGGAAACCTAGGGTCGCGTCGGTCTCTTAAAGACTAAGTCATGTACTACTATTATTGGTTGTCGCATGTGCCACAATACATGTAAACAACGTTATTTATGTTTTGGCTTAGTTCTGAAAATAGGGTCGCAAAACGCACTTACTCATAAACTTAACAAAGTCACGACTTCGTGTCAAACAAATATGTTTCCAAAGTTCAAACGTGACAAACAGCAAAAGCGAACTTTGAAAAACTGTAAGGCTTACAATTTTCAAAAATTACGATTGCAATCCGTTTTAATTTTCGTTGGCCTTTTCTGTAGTATTTTACCTTGAGTTAATGCTTTTAATGCTTTTTGTTTCACTCAATTTGGTGTCAGTTCCTATTGATACAGCTGTCAAGGATTTAACTACGAGTAGCCCCACCTTAAATTTCCAGGAACACCTTTCTCACTTCCCTCCGTAATGAAACCCAAGAGAGCACAACGAACACAAGTTTCTCCGTTGAGATTCTTATTTCTCTGAGCTACAATTAGAATAGCTACATTCTTGAACTCTGCTAAAAATATATATAGTGGGTTACAAATGGCGCTGATCGGCCTTCGCGTGCCCTCATCCTTAATTTTGGGGGCATTGGAGGTTGCTGTTCCACTTTAATCTGTCCTAGACTGTAGACCGCAAACAGTCGTCTTGTTTGTTGATAGTTTGTTTGTTTGGTTTTTCTTCCTTTCAAAATCGGTTTTTCAGCTCTTAGCGCGGAAACCTCACACCGGCTCCAAGCAGTCGAAAAACCGATTTGAAAAAACAAACAAACACGTCAAACGCGCGCGTCTCTCTCCAGTCTCACTCTCCGTTTTTAGCCCCGCTCTGGCCGGAGGGGGGTGGGGGGGGGGGGGTTTAGCTTGAATTTCATCCGATTACTTCGAGTCGTTTTTGAGAGGAGAAAACGACTCGAAGCAATCAGATGAATTTCAGGCTAGCCGGGGGGTCAATTTAATAATACTTTTACAACTGTAAGTGCGGCTATTATCTTTTATTAAATTGACCTCTGGACTATCCTTTCACTGTTCGTGCGATCTTGACCTACGCAAAAATACGGACTGTTTTGCAGTCAATAAGCTAGCCGAATATTGGGATAAATACTTCATTTGTCGCTTTACGGTTTTCGGCAATTATGAACATATTACTAATTGTGTCATTTTGTTCTCTAGCAAAATGGAAGAGTTCAGGTCACCTGAAGAGTTCATGCAATACGTGACGAAAAAGAATCCTGGAGAAGACGAATTTCACCAAGCAGTAGAGGAAGTTGTCAGGTCAGTGTGGGGATTTATTGAAGAGAATCCTGTATATAAGCAACAAAGCATCCTGAAAAGATTGGTAGAGCCAGAGAGGGTAATAATCTTCAGAGTTCCTTGGAAAGATGATAAAGGCAACATACAAGTCAACCGTGGATTCCGAGTGCAGTTCAACTCTGCCCTCGGCCCTTACAAGGGTGGTCTTCGTTTCCATCCCACAGTGAATCTAGGAATTTTGAAATTCTTAGGTTTCGAGCAGATCCTCAAGAACAGCCTCACAACTCTCCCCATGGGTGGCGGCAAAGGTGGCTCTGATTTTGATCCCAAGGGAAAAACTGACAGCGAGGTGATGAGTTTCTGTCAATCATTTATGACGGAACTACAGAGGCACGTTGGTCCGAACACAGATGTTCCTGCTGGGGACATTGGAGTAGGGGGCCGGGAGATTGGATACCTTTTCGGACAGTACAAGCGGATCCGAAACGAGTTTACTGGTGTGCTGACAGGAAAAGGAATAGGCTGGGGCGGAAGCTTGCTTCGTCCAGAAGCTACTGGGTATGGCCTCCTGTATCTAGTTCAGGAGATGCTCAACTCCAGTGGTGACAGCATCAAGGGTAAACTTGTCGCCATTTCCGGCTCTGGAAATGTTGCCCAGTTCGCGTGCGAGAAAGCCACTCAACTCGGCGCCAAGGTAATCACACTGTCAGATTCAAATGGAACCATTCACGATCCTGATGGCATCACGGCGGAGAAACTGGCATACGTGCTTGAGCTGAAGAATGTCAAACGAGGGCGCATCCGTGAGTACGCTGAGAAATACGGCGTGACTTACTTCGAAGGAAAGAACCCGTGGTCCATAAAGTGCGACGTGGCTCTTCCTTGTGCCACACAGAACGAAGTTGGCAAGGAGGACGCTGAAGAGCTGGTGAAAAATGGGTGCATCTTGGTAGCAGAGGGTGCTAACATGCCGACCAAGCCGGAAGCAGTGCGAGTGTTTCAGGAGAGCAAGGTTTTGTTCGCTCCTGGAAAAGCATCCAACGCTGGGGGCGTGGCAGTATCCGGTTTGGAGATGAGCCAAAACAGCTTGCGAACGGCTTGGACAAGAGAGGAAGTGGATGAAAAATTGCAGCAGATTATGAAGGCGATTGACCATCAGTGTGTCAAGTACGGGAGGCTGCCAGACGGGTCTGTTGATTACGTAAAAGGAGCCAATATCGGTGGTTTCGTCAAGGTTGCTCAAGCAATGATTGACCAGGGACTGGTTTAGAATAAGTGAAAACAAACCCCTGTAATTCGTCAAAGTAGCTCAAACAATAATTAAGAAAGGACTGGTTTAAAAATGCTATTAAAGTTTGGTTTTCATATCTGCATTTGCAAAACCCTCTGGGGGGCGGGGGGGGGCAATTCTCACCTTAAAATGACGGGGATGCTCGTCGTCTCACTCACGCGTGTAAATTGTAGAGTTTGGTCTATTTCAGGGTGTTTTTAACAACAACAACAACAACAACATGTTTAGCCATACAACAACATGTACAACACAACATGTTTAGCCATACAGGTATCGCTTAGGGTTGCACATAAAAATATCCATAGAACAAACTAAGCCCATACTACTATGTTGAAGACAGCATTCAATGTCAAAATCTTAAGCGCAGTTAAAATCATGGTGGTTTCTATATGTTTGTCTCTCTGTTTTAGTACAGTCTCAAAAAAAGTTTGGACAGCGCCCAGATTGGTCTTCTAATTCTGATTTTCCAACTAGTATCTCCATCCGTTTCGTATTGGAGTCTCCCCCGGGTCGAAGGGCAACGTCGCAAACAGGAGAAATAGAAAGTTTATGATGAGAGCCATAAGGCTGACATCCTATCGTCTCTGAGCTTCCGAACTTTTTTTCTGTATGTACGTCTTGGCGTGCTCGCTGCAGTCGCCGATTAGTTATAGGCTCGGCAATTTCAGTCGCTCTGTCTCGTACGGTCTTAGTTCCTCCCCGATAAGAGAGTGATTCTAAAGGAGGAAAGCGAGAACGACTAACATTAACAGTATGTGATAGTATTTAACTATAGATATCGCTTTGCAGTGAAACATTTTGTAGGTTTAGCACGAACTGGAGTGTGAAAGGAGTTAAACCTGAAGATGTATATTGAAATATACGAAACGTCACGTTAAAATTTTATTTTATTTTTTTCTTTTCTTTTACAAAAATGCTTTTTTTCCTTATGGATATCATAGGAGTTATTCTTATCAAGGAGGAAGAGAGACCATGCAAACGAGCGACCAACCTGGAGTCGTCACTTTCTCAAACGTTTTGCGAACAATCCAACGTTGCGTTGGTGCTACGCACATATGGAAACTAGGCTTTCACCTATTGGGATGACTATCATTCTTAATTTTGACTTTTGGTGTGATTTTTGTTTGTTTAAAGTCTAATTATCTTAGAATTGTCCTGTTCTGGAAAATGTCACGGAAAATGTTTGCTACGAGTCAGTAAAAAGTCAGAAAATTCTATGTTTTCAGGCTGTATAGGGCTTTGGAAACTCAAATTTTCAAAGAATAGTTCCGTGAAAAACAGGGAGAACGAAAACTAAACATAGAATAATGAAAAAGAACATTTTAGAACTAAGGTCGGGAAAATTGTTCAGAGGTCCTGTAAAGTCAGAGGTTTTTTTCGTTTCATTTAAGTGGAAGCCCTGATTTTAGACAGGCTCGATTACAATGACTGAAGACTTAAGATAAACCCGTGCTAAACGGAACAAGAATGATCGGTGGAAATCAATATGAAAGAACATAGGATTATCCGTTTGTCGCTGTTGTTGTGTGATACTTTTCCTCGAAACAATTTTAAATGAAGTCGACAACCTTTCGCGTCGTATAAGTTGTAAAAGAGTCGACTAAGATTACTAATGTATTAATAAATACTCTTTTTCATCAATCGTGTATTGTCCACAATACAGTGTATTTTAGTCCTGGAGTTTTAATAGTAGAGCTGGGTGGGACTATTGGTCACTAACTGTGCATTTCATGTAAAAGAAAATCAGATTGGTTTAATAAAGTAGGCACCTAACCATGGGAAATTGATAGGAGGTTGTGAATGGGGGTACCTCGATAACACTAAACACTTCATTTTTTCACTTTGTAACATGCAACAGTTAAATTTTAGGCATTTTAACACTAACAATAAAAAATTCTTTGAAACAGTAATTTTTTTCCAGAAAGAAGCAAAAAACGGCTCCAAAAAGGCCAATATCATTTTGTGTAGTATATCAACGAGTTTTTGGCCATTTTACGACAATTCCGGATTATTTCACAAAAATCTTGAGGGCTACCGAAGATCCCCAAAGACTGCCGAAGAAGTCCGACCATTGCCTAAGACTGCAATTAATTTAGCCCTTTATTACTGCCTACGATGTCCGAAGAACCCTCCAAACACTTAACATTATTTTCCTAGGAAACAGTAAACATTAAAATATTGGCCAATTTAACAGCAAACACTAAAGATTATGGGCAAATAACGCGAAACACTAAACCCCATTCAGACCCTCTGGTAGGCCTGATTATTTCGTGCGGCCTGGCTATGCTTTTCCGGTCACGTGGTTCGTTTAGGATAAATCACCGAAATCTATTGACCGAGGAGGCCTGGGTAAACGCCGCACCTGGACTTAGCAAGTTGTTACACCAAGATAACCAAGATAGCTAGCATTTTATTGCATTTTATAACTTTGTGTCAAGAAGCGAAATTTTTTCCCTAGCTGTGCACCGACCGGATGCCGGCAATCCGAACCGTTTCCTATCAGCTATCTTATGAACAAAAATTATGCCGCAAAGATGACACAATTGAAGAACAAAGACAGGATTTAGGCAAAACAACCGTTTTGGGTTGATTTTCCATATTTTGGGAGGTCTCCGAACCACAGACTGCGATGACATAAGTCACTGTTTGTTGCAAGAAATGATTGAGAGGAAGCAGGGCGCCATGCGAAGCCAAAGTATTATCAGTTAGTTTTATCAGGAAGTTATGGGCTCCCGGTTTGATCAGCGTTTATAAAGCAAACACGAGAAAATCACTGCGAAACTACTCCATTAGAAGGTAGGTAAGTCATCCTGAAAAGAACTAATACATTTGTTAAACTTAATGTAGTAAAAATCTTCCCATTTACCTACCTGAATTTTCTGACCCCCAAATTGCCCAACTGTGCGACCCCATTCTAGTAACTCTATTGAAAATGCTACCCCATTATAGTCAATCCAGTCGTGAAAGTGCCACCCAATCCAGCAGCACATTACTCCAGGAAATACGCACCGGGGCTTTGTACCATTACATCAAGAGAGGAAAACAACGCTCTTGATTACAGACATAATAAAAAGTTGTTTCGATCGTAGAGACAAACCCAGCGAGTTGTTTTCTTATACGCCTAGATTAATCAATAATTGTCAGGTTGAAAGTTATGACTTTGATTTTACAATACATTGTTTTTGTATTTATGTATGGTGGACTACCCGCGGAAACAACTTTTGAACTTGTGGCTGGATATAAACCTGTTACGAAACTTTGAGAGCGTTCAATTCTATTAAGTCGGGCAGACAGGAAACTCTGCAAAAACATTGCATGACAAATACTAGCTTAAGAGAAAAGATTCTAAACTTCCCTTCCCTGTCAGAACTTGTCCCTAAAAAGTTTAAAAGCTTTCAAAAACCATACTATGATTTTTTCGTTCTAGACTGAAGCGCCCGTTTTCAACTAGATTTAAACATACATTACATTGGTCAAGGATAATCTTGACATGGATACCGTTGAATAAAATACGTTACCAGACTTCAAAGGGACATTTCGAGAGAAAAGATCCTCGCCTTCGGCCTGTTAGACATTTCACAAGTGATTGGTTCTATATACTGGCTGGAAACTGGGAGTTTAGCCCAAGTCCAATTCTGCCTATATTTTTTGCTACAAGTTTAGGTTGCATCGGTAATTCTGAAAATTTCAGAGGATGTAAGAAGGTGGACGAGAACTTTAAGGACATACAGTAGCCGCCCCGCAACTCGAACTCTGAAGGGAAACGTAAAACAGTTCGAGTTATCGGGGTAAATTTCAGTGAAATTTTGATCAAGCCCTGAGAGGCACCCAACGAGAATATAGTTCAAAACCACTTAAACATAGCGTTGTCGCACGTATTTTAGTATTTGGTAGATACAGGCATATTTTTATCCCCTAAAAATTTTTCATCTGTTCGGATTTTCTAGCTGAAAGTCTAGTGATCCGAAAATTATAGGGATCAAAACTTACCTTTTCGAAAATTTCAGCCAGAAAAAAGGCTCCCGAGAATTTTAGGTGAGCTTTTTAGGGTAAAAATCCGTTTATAATGGGCAATTGTACCATTTTTTAAATGTTCGAAGGAGAGGTAGGCAAGCAAGAAATTTACATCAAATATTCCGAAAATTCTAGATTTCAAATCGTATTCCGAACAGATATTTTCCAAAAATTGACTTTGGGTGTCCCTGATCAAGGGAAAGGAAATTTAATTCGAGTTAGCAGGGAATTCGAGTCATCCGAGTTCGAGTAATCGAGGTTCTACTCAATAATGGAATTTGACCCAAACTTTTCCCAGGGTCCCTCTCAAGGAAAAAAGAAAGAGAACCCAGAGGAAACGAGGATGATTCTGACGAATCATAGCTCGCGCATTGTTTAAGTCTCGATGATTTTATCGACCCCAATTTTTACTCAGATATATTATACTGATGAAGCTTACTACCCACATAATACTTCAACTTTGTCTTCCACGGATGTCGAGAAAAGGGAACGAGCCAATTTTATTAGCTATGCAGATCCCCGAACCGTTTTGAGCTTCTTCTCAACGATCACGTGTATCATCACGTTCGCTAGAAGATTTTCTCTGGTGCCCCGTTTTACTCAGCGCGCGTGATAAACCACGTGGTCAAGACTCAAGAGATTCCTGCCTCGTCCCCAGTCGCTCGCCATCACTTTTTGGGGGGATATTTGAGGTATTGATTGCCCCTGCAGGGATTTCGCCAAGAAGGCGAAATCCAGAGGAGGCACCCTAGTAGCTCGCGTATATAAAGGAAAGTATTTATAGCTGAAATATACAGTCAGTATGGCAGAAAAAATCTCGATTTGCTTGAGAAGGGGCCTTGAGGAATCGTTTGGTAATGATGACGTTTCTATTGTTCGCGCCCGCAGGAGATGGTTAGGATAACAGAAAAAAAAAAAACACACACACACACACACACAGAAAATCCCGTAGGGATTGGGTAGATTTTGTGGATCCTGCACCTATTTGAAAGATTGTTTTTTGATTAGCTGGCGAAACAATAGGGATTGTCACATAACAATGCCCCTATCCCTGAAAACAATGGAAGTGCAGATTAAAGGGGACCAGTAAAATAGAAGCTGAGAACGGTGCAGGTCTACTGGATTTTGTGACATTCATTGTACCACATACTTCGATACTCTTTTGCGTTAGGTGTTATCAGTGACATTCTGTGGAGCAGCGTTTTTGAAAGTTATCGACCAACAGACATATATAAACACTTGGAGAGTTTGCCAGACACGAGTTGACAAATCTTTGATTAGAAACAATCCGCAAGACACTCTTTCTCTCTCTCGATCTCTTCCCTGGGGGAATAATACTCAACCCACAAACAAGCAAGACGAGTGAATCAACGGCTAGCTTATCAGTAGCAGAACGATGGACGATTACAGAAAACTGTTCCGACTTATTCAATGCTCACAGATGTCCTTCTATTCTATAAAGACTAGAACGCGCAAGGGTGAATTGATCAAACCTTACTTTCAGGAAAATAAAATGAACTGTATGTAAAAAATGAAAGAGAAATAGCCAAAAACTCCAGCTTCTAATGAAATCTTTTCTTATGGTTTAGAATAAAATATTCTCGAAATTGAGAATGTTTTGATGAAAGCTGTGTAAATCGAACTGAATCAGAGCATGGAAGCTTGCGTTTCCTGTTTTTATCTCACCCATTGTATGGAATATTAGCGAAAATCTTCAGTATGAATCGGTATATTTCAAAGAGCTATACAACGACCAAAAATACTGTTAACAATACCTATTAATTGCACTGAAGCACCCGTACATGGGTGATATGGTTGTGCGCATGCGTAAGGTACTGGTAAGGCACTGGCTATACCGCGGAGTTCGTACGTGTGCTTCAGTGCAGTTAATTGGTATTGTTTCAAGAATACTATTGCCCGACAATACTGAACCGATCGAGAGCGGGGCAACTATTACTAGTTAAGGAAAGCGGTAGCGAAAGGAGTAAAAGGGGTCTTTTAGACTCTTTTACCTGTGCTGCATCGAAACTGTGGAATGAGTTACGATTTGATATAAGAAGCGCCAGCACAGTTAGTATTTTTAAAGCCAAGCTAACAACTCACCTTTTCCGTCATGCATTGTTATCATAGTTGTTTTTATTATTGTGAGTTTACCTTTAATTGTAATTTTAGCTTTTAAAATCATTTTTGTAAGTTTGCTCTTAACTGTAATTTTAGCTTTTTAGTCTTTTTATTTCGTTTTTAATCTTGTCATGCGCATTTGAACATTTTATGGAATTTGTGCATTATAAATATTTTATTATTATTATTATTCCTTCCCATCACCCCCTGCTCGCGCTCTACATTCGTTCCTATTATCCCCCTCTTCTCGCTTGTCTCCAGTTCTCGCGCTTCTCGCTTGTTCCGTGCTCTCCACTAAGCCTTGGAAGAGCCCGTAGAGTTCAGGGAAATAATCGCCTGGACCACCAGATAAAAAAAAAAGGTCTTGGTTGCTGAAAAAAATGTCTTAAAAAGGTTTGCATTGAGAACAGCGCAGCTTGGGCAGTGTATTATCAAGAACCTCTTATGGCTCTTAATATTATATAATCATCTTGGTCATGCGTGCAAATGCTTTTTATTACGTAATCACCCATTATTTTATCAGTAGGGATATCTTCCTGGAAAGCACTTAATCAATCTACAGAAACGTTATGAAAATGTGTTATAAGGCACTATTCCTATATATTTTGACTAATAAATCTCTGCGATGAAAACATCATCAATCTAGTAAGTGTCTCCTACAATAAAAACATTCTAAACTGTAATAAATCCGAGTGCTACACCGACTGTGCTGGTTGGTATCTTTTACATGCCCTTTGTTTCCTCCTCTTCTATTTTATCTTTTCTATGTTACCGTTTTTGTGCTGAAATTTTAGTGTTGAAGAAAAAGCAAAAAAATTACTTGGGTTTAAATTGTAAAGGGTTGATTAATTTGTCAATCAAGATAGTTTCATCACGAATAGTTTCACTTAAAGTGACGATGAGGAACAAGAGTACAAGGCTTTTCCAAACTCTGGGCGCGAAGGACAGATGTTTAGCGACATCCACATTCCTTAACAATCGCTCCTTGGTAGGTTTTCAGCCCAATGTGACCCTGCGAATCCTCTTCGAACATGCTTACACCACGCAGTTTTATCGGTACGCAACACGGCTCTCCGGCACCTTGATCCAGTCCAGATGAGTGTAAGATTGATCGCAAAATGGCGTGACCGCTTGGATTTACCTAGAAAATAGTTAAATGCTCTCTCTTAAGCATCAAAAATGTGATAGCTCTATTTTAAGATCCTTTAATATCGTTTCAAAACAGGAAAGCGTTAACAAACTTGTCAGGTTTCCCCCGTCCAAGCACATGGATCTGTAACTAGTGCACGAACCCACAAACATGCTATGCTTAGATACTACTGAAGAGATTAAGCATCGGGTTTACGGCAAACGGCAAACGTGAGATTTTCAAAATGAGAAATGAGCAGATAAAAACAGCTTAAAACAATTGTATGGATAGAATTGGCATGAATCTACCGATTTTCGTGTAGTTATAATGAACAGTAAACGATAAGTAAATTGAAAACTCAAGGTCACGTGGTACAAATTCACGTTTGCCGTTAATCTTTCTACTGATCATGTATACATATCCTGGGGACCGAGTACACAACCACATTCTCCTTTATCATTGAGAAATATAAAATTCCTTCACCCACAAGAGATGCTGTAACTCAAGCTAAGGAGACGGAGGAGGTACTTCTAAGACTTGCATGCCGAAGGTACAAAAGTAAGCCCGCACGATCGTTTCACTCACTCAGACCACTACCTACTGCAAGGAGACAGTAGCTTTGTTTCGTGCTAAACAAGTGTGTTCAAGAAAGGACAATTTGTAATATTTTGCTGAAAGCAAAAAATACTTACACTTGTATCCAACGGGAATTTGCATTCACCTCCACACCGGAATGACTCGAAAACGCGGGGAATGATGACATCGTTCCAACCAAGATGTCGCCTGACATCTACTGTCATGGGACGAATGGAACATGGACCCTCGTCACGAATGGCTGCTAGATGACGTCTGGACCTCCGAGGCAGCTCGAACATATGTTTTGATCTGGAAAAAACTATTATAAAACCGTTTCGTCATTGACTATTAAAAAAACACCTGTTAGAGAACTTTTCTATAACTAAAATTTAAGACTTACGGTCAAACCGAGGTCAAGCGAACCCACATAGATTTTATTAAATAAATTATTTGAAAATTGAAAGTATATTGAAGTACAATATTCGCATCACCTACCTGTTATCCCGTCACGGGGAATTAAGTTAGGGGGTGGAATCGTGACTGCCAGGACAATAGGCCATTTCAAATGAAGTAAGTCTTTTGTTTTTCATGTCTCAGTCCGTTCCTTACTTTCCAGCATGGCACTTTTGTACCACCTGACTAGCATAGCTGCAAAGGCATGAAGTATACAACGTCACCCCGTCACCCAGCAACAGAGGGGCGAAACTTTGAAGTCACTTTCAGTGAACGCGGAACTGCTTATAAAAAAGGTGGACACAAAAATCGTACTATCTTAAGCGAGGACCACGGTGCATCATGCCATCAATCATAGGCTTCACGTGACCGAATTTGAGGAGTTTCTCAGCTATTTCCCGCCTTACGGGCTAATTATTCATGTAGTGAGAATAGCCGTTGTCCATATACGACTAAACGTCTTGGAAGTAATTTTATTCCTTCAAAAGCTTAAAAAACGTATAGTGTGACCAAATTCTTATAATCTACTATTCGATCATTATGCATCCACGGATATGTGGTGGTCCGTCAATTCTATCCCTGGTTTAAATTTATTTTCCTTCTTTTGGGGTTTGGTAATGTGTGGTAATGAGTTTGGAACAAAGAAAAGCAAGAGCCATATGGCTCTTGAGGAAAGTAAAAATTAAACCAGAGATAAAATTGAGACAAAACAGATACGTATTTGAATTAGTCGACACTAGTAGCAGTAACGAACAATCGGATCCGTATTTCAACTGCCGCTTTAGTCAATTGACTAATACAATCTATGGCGGTATTCTTGACCCAGCTTGACCGTACATTGGCCTATCCTTCGTTAATAATTAAATGATTTGTTTGTTTGGTCGTTTGCGGCTGTGTATCCACTTTAGTGTGAATAAAGTCCCACGAACTCCCAAGCTGAAATCAAATTTAAAACCTCGTCCCCAGGGTCGACTCGTTTTTTCCAGTATGGCGGCGGCAGAAAAGAAAAGGGTCTCCTCTCATTAGATTCCATCATCCCATTGTCCAGAACCACGTTGGACACCTTATGATGTTTACACAAAATAATTCCTTATATAGGGGAAAACGCACCGACCATAGTGACTGGAAAAAGTGGTCGATGTGGTTAGCTTTCATTACCTGTTACCTTTGTCACTTTATATATGTAAATAAAAATCAAACTCGTGTAATTGAGACGGAAATATTGTCTTTCTGGACGACGGAATCGAATGCTGAAAAATTTTCTGCCGCTGTCAAATTTGCAAACGAGAAGACCCTGGGTGTGAGAACACTTTTTCCTACCGTTGCTTTGCCCATTCCTGTGACTGTTGGGACTACAGAATATATAAAAGAAAGCAATATGAAGATCTGAACACTAAAACAGTCAACTCTCGTTATAGCGGATATTGTAGCGACCTCGAGTTAGTGTCCTCATTAGCGAGAGTCCTTAATAGCTGGAGTTCATTTCAGTCAAACGTGTGTAATTTATTTTTGCCTGGGATGTAGCTGTTCTCCGTATTATTGGAGTGTCCGTTATAGCGAGGTGTCCGCAAGGCGAGAGTTGACTGTATCACCCGCCCTGCGAGCAAAGGCCCCTCCATTTTTCTACCTAAGTCTGATCGACTTATACAGGAGGTTCGAAGGGCTTTATCTCGTCGGAAGGATAGGTATAACAGACAGAGGATAAGGGGGACATCACTATATCCTTTTAGTGTGGCATTGAACTAAGAGCACTTATATCCAGAAATGCATGCAATGCTGAAAATGGCGTATCGCCAGACAGCTAGCATTTCAAATTGTATGCCAAAAGTGTCCCATTGGAGAGTAGGCGAGAGCGTTATTTACCTCAACAAAGATGACAGTTTTTCTCCTCTATGGTGTTTGACAAAACGTGTTTTCACAATCAAGAGAGGTAGCGTATTTCGTCTGGTTCCAGTTTGCCCTCCTTTCACCTTGAGCGACACATTCACATCCGGGTTGTGTGACTTCGCCCTTACGAAAACTCCACAGTTGAGACGCTGTGAGAAAAGCCATCTCTGTACCATAGAACGAACAGAAAACATAACCCATCTAGTTCCAGACCTCCGGAATGTAACCGACTGAATGGCCTCGTGGGAAAGCTGATCATAAAGAACAATGTCCCCACGCAATGGCAGAGATGCCACGTGACTTGCAATTTCAACCATTACTCGGAGTTTGGCTGATGAGAGACGCTCTTTTTTTTCAATGTTGAAGCCGTTTACGTTAAAGGAGACAACATTTTTCAGTGGTGCAACTGTCAAGGAGAGAAAAAGAGTCTTGTTGAGTACGTGTTCGTGTGGCGTCTCTCTCCAAAAAACACCCCGGATTAACGAATGGGATTTTTGGCCCCCGATATATCAAACTTTATGGAATAGGGCCGCAATAAAATTTACCTCCGTTAAAAAAGGCGATTTTTCGAGTGTACAGAAGCGCCTTAAATGGTACGCGCTGGAGTTTTATAGTTATCGAGTACCCAGCCAATCCGGAACTAGTGTCCATTTCTGGATATAGGTATCGTGCGTTGTGATTGGCAGCTATTCCCTTATGTCATTGTCAATGCCAATAGAGCTCCCTCCTATTACATTCATGTTGGTTTTTGTAATTTCAGTGACCAAAATCTCTTATACTTGATCACTCAGAGGGTCATTGATATAGAAAATACTACATCTCACATCTTTTAACTACTTTAACATACCATATCTATAATGCATGCAAATGAACAAGACGGGTTTTATTTTGATTACCAGGCGTGGATACAAAAATGCTTAAGAGCCTGTTTACATGAAGGTGGGGAACCCCAGGTAGGTGAGGTAACATGTGGCGGGTTACCCCACCTAACATGCATGTAAACGTGATCAAATTAAAATGAGAGATTATATGGACAGGCGGGTTACCCCTCCTAAACGGGTTACCTCACCTACCTGGAGTCCCCCACCTCCATGTAAACAGGTCCCAATTGTAATAATGTTTATATCACTGCTGCTTGTGTTTTATTTCAGATTAAGCTACGGAGTCTTTATGAACAGGCACCCTGCCACCAAACCCCCCCCCCCCACCCCTCTGACTTGGGAAGTCCTCACATTTGACCTGAAAATTTCTCTGTTTTGTCGCTAAAGTTGAAATGGGTGTAGAAGAGTGGACAGTTGTGTGTGGCCGATTTGTTATTTGTATCTTGTATTAGTTGTCAGACATCGCCAAACAAAAGCACATTTCATGCTCGTGTTTTCGAAAATATCAGACATCAAGGCGCCTTGACTTCCTCTGCTCATTCGATGTACTCTGCAGTTCAATTCGTGGATATTTCTTCGAAATTTTCTTAATACCATTAAATTGCCACTGCTGCTCATTGTGATTTGTTATACCAGTGTATTGCCCAGGAGTATTGCGTATTGCTGGGGACATGATGTTTTTCTTCATTAATCAAGAGAGCGTCCTGTAAGATCTAGTGGTCCAAAGTGGTGAAATTGTTTTTTTCCTGCTTACCATGTGTTTACCGATGTCGGCGACATGATCCGCTTCCTCTCCGGCAGCTATCTCATGAACTAGCATTTAGCGATTATACCGCAACGATCATGCGATTAAGAAAATAGAAAAAAATAGGTTTTCAATAGACAAAACATTACTTGCTTTCATCTCAGAATATTAGCACGTTCTCGGAGGTCTTTAACCCGGCGTGGGTTCTACAGTTTTATCACGAGCACCCAACGACTATTTTCTCCTAAATGCATTGGAAACACTTTTTAGATTATCCAGAGTACTTTTAGATCTCCAGAAATATATTCTAAGTGGTGCTAAAAAAAATTTGTCTGTTCGGTCATCCTAGGGAAATTACAAGGGCTTCAGAGTGACTTTCCCGAAAATTTTAGCTGCAATTTAAAGTTTTACGAAAGTGAGAATTTTTCTGATTCCTCTCTGCATCGCATTTCCGGTTCCGAAAATTTTAATTTTCCTTTCTCTACGAAAAATAGCTTAACATGGGGAGTGAAATGGGAGAAATTAAACTCCAGAAAATCGTAGGGAGTTTATTAGATATTAGCTTCGAAAATTGTATATGAATGGAACGGTCATCTAGAGATTTTTAGTCTTCCTCAAGTTGTAGAAAATTCTAGGCAATTTTTGCTTCTCCGAACAGATATTTCACAGAAAACATTCACTGTGTGCCCGTTTTATTTGCTGTACGGTATGTATAATCATATTTATTCTGCAGATATTTCGCGGACCTTACGTAACTTTGAGTGAGTAACGGTTAACTGATTTATAACTTCAACTTGTTTGGATGAAGCTGATTTGTTTTGTCCTTTTAAGCCGATGGATGGAATCCCATTGCTTTTGATTCCCAGGTCTGAGATGGCTTTGCAATTTGCCGGATCTAGCACAGGTAGCCCAAGCTCGAAATGTGAGCATCGGCGAGCATCGGCATTGTTGCGTAACATTCGGAATATAAGTATTTGCGAAAAAACCTATCGTTTCTGTAACCTACGAGAATGAACGGATTTAAAAAAGAAAAACAGCTTACCTTACATAAAATGTGTGTTACGTCTCTTCTGTGTGGTCCATGGGCCAATTTATGGCCGTTCATGGGTTGTACTGTAAACGTTTTTCTCTCTATATATAAGGTTGCCTGCGTGCAGACGTCTGCTATTTCCTTTGTTGCACGCGTGCAACAAAGGAAATAGGAGACGTCTGCACGCAGGCAATATATAAGGTAAACCTTATAATAAGCTTTAGTGTATTTAGGATGGTTTAAGGTGGATGGCCACATCACACATACCTACATAGATCAGTTATGAGTTATATCATTAGGTATTACGCCCCACCACCCCAACCACTCATTACCTCTTCCTACAAAAGCGTGAACAGTACCAGGAGTCGTCTTTCCGGCTTTGGAAGTTATACCATCTTTAGCATCTTTCAGGTAAATCTTCATCAGAAATTCAGGAATATTCTTGAGTCTTGGCACTTTGTCTTGAGACACTGCTGAACCAGAATGCATCTTGTGGTCCATGGCCAAGGACGAACTGTTAATAGCGCTGTCGTTTGGAAAAGAAGCTAATGCCTCACTTTTGAGGCATAACGCAATAACGAACATCAAACCTAAGACACCAGTAATTGTCATCATGGACAATGTAGAAAATGGAAACGACTACAGGGAGATAAACCGAGTTGTTTTTCAATATTGACCAGCTCAGCGATCACTCTAACTGCACTAAGATTAGTTGCCGGGCCGTGCTTCTTTATAAATCCACGCCGTTGGAAACTGACAACTCTTGAATTTGACAAGGTTAAAAATAGGAATTTTATGTTTGGTCTCGGAAAACATAATAAAA